TGCTGCTGCTGCCCTGCTGCTGCCGCAACTGCGGCCGCGGCGGCTGCTCGTCCCTCCTGCAATGTGCATGTTGGGATGGGAGTGAGCGGAGGCGAGCTGCCATCGCCCGCGTTCCATGCCGGCACTGATCCTGCGTCGGCAGCAGCGCCGCCGCCAGCGACGGCGGCCTGCTGGCTATTGGACGTGTGAAATGCGTACGGCATTGATTGACTGCGCAGCTGAGCACTTCGCTGCTGTTGAAGCGTCTGAGCGTGTTGTTGTTGCTGCTGCTGCTGCTGCTGGTGCTGGTGCTGGTGCTGGTGCTGCTGCTGCTGCTGGTGCTGGTGCTGCGGTTGGTGACGGCTGTCGTTGTGATGGAAGCCGTCGGAGGTGTGGTACTGCCGGTTATAGTGCTGCTGCTGCTGGTGAAACAGATGGGGGGATGGCTGGTAGTGTTGCTGCTGCGGGTGCTGCTGTGGTTGCAGCTGCTGCTGTGGCAGCTGCTGCTGCTGGGAGAGGCGGTAGCTATGGAGGATGGCAGCGTCTGACTTGGTCTTGCGGAGTGCAGCACTGAGAGGGCTCTCAGGCGTTATAGTCCTGTAGGCGCGGAGGGTGAAGTGGGAAAGTACGGCTAACGAACGAGTGGTTTGTCCGGCAGCTGTACTAACTACATGAGCTCCTACTGCTGAAGCCCGTACGCTTGCGTTACCACCCATGATACAAGATAACGCAGGGGCCTAGGTATTGGAAGCAGCAGAACAGCTTGTGAGTAAATGGTCCTTTAGCAGTAAGCATGCGCAAGCATGTATCGCTTCATCACACGAGCTACCAGGCACGCACCATGCCGGTAAACATCTAGATGCGCGAACCCCCATTACCCTTCTTAGTGCTTCCCACTGTAGCTGACAAGCCTCCTATACCACAACAGACCCTGAACTTCAAAGGCCATTACACCCCAATACCTCACCTAGGCACCAGCACCCGAGCAACGGGAGGCCATACTCCCCCAGGCGGCGCGCCACCACCAGCACCAGCACCACCGCCGCCAGCTGCACCTTGCACGACACCTCCTGACGGCGGGGCCGCTCCCGCCGTGCCCCATCCGCCGCCGCCAGCCGAACCACCGGCGGGTGGGGCAGCGGAGGATCCAGGCGACAACGTAGGCTGCTGCTGTTGCGGCTGCTGCTGTTGCGGCTGCTGCTGTTGCGGCTGTTGCTGTTGCTGCTGTCCCCAATTGTAGCCACCAGGTGCAGTTCCGGGGTTGCAGTTGCCGGCTGCACCCACAGGCACCAAGTGCGCGTACGTCGACATGTCAGAATAGCTCCGCCCGAGGCCCGCGGGACCCAGTCCGGCGGAGGGGTGAGACGGTGGAAGCAACGACGTCGGCAGCGACGTCGGCAGCGACGTCGGCAGCGGCGGCTGAGGTGCCCCCTGCGACGGCAGCGGCAAGGGCTGGCTGTACGGCGGGGCAGAAGGGAAAGCAGCGGTGGCGGGAGTCGGAGGCGCCGTCATGCGTGTGGTGGGCGGCCCGAGCTGATGGTAGGTCGGGTGCGGTGGCGCGACGGGGTTGGCGGAGTGCCGCCAGCAATCCGCTGCTGGCGGCGGTGGCGCTGGGGCAGCAGTTGGGTGCGGCTCTGAGTCCGGGGGAGGCTGCAGGTGAGGGCGCTCGAAGGGGCTTGCGGCATCCTGTGGCGGGTTGGAAGTGGGAGGAGTGGGGGAGGGAGGGAGGGCGGGGGAGTGCGGGGCGTCGTGAGGGAGGGGTTAACAGAATGAGGACCACAGAGAGGCTGTTCATTCCTGCGTCATGCAAGGCACGCCATCCTGCGCATGGCATAGCGAGACGGCCGGCTTAGACTCCCTTAGAAGGCAACGCATTGAAGGCATCCACCTAACAGGAAGGAGAGCTGCTCCAACATGTTCAATACACCTTCCACAGAGGCATCCAAGGTCCATGCGCAGGTAACTTCACGCCGTCTCTTTCAATTTCCATCTCGTTTCCACGCAGCCCGATTTTCCCTCCCTGCATAACCTCCTGGCCTTCCTGCCAGCCCTCTAGGAGGCCTCCATCCCACAGCCTCCATCCCCCATCCCTGCGGCATCACCTGAGGTAACGTAACGGACGCCAGGACGGCTCCGCCGCCTACATGCATGCTCTGGGATGTACTGTCCTCTGAGGGTGTCGGGGCAGCATGCGGCGACGGCGCCCATCGGGGTGACACATGACCGCCACCGCCGCCGCCGCCAGCGACGGCGGCACCCTGGGAAAACATACCACCAGCAGCTGCTGTGCCGTACCCATGGTGACCATGCATCGGCGGCAGATGGGGGTAACCGCCGCCGCCGCCGCTGCCTGGCATCTGGTGATGATGCGGGTGTAGGGTCTGATGGAGATCAGCGGGGTGTGGCCTCTGCCCAGCCATGGCACCCGGGCCGCCGCCACCGCCGCTGCCGCCGTTACCCCCCAGATACTCGCCGTCGCCGCCACCCCCGCCGCTGCCGTCGCCTCCACGACCGTCGCCGCCGGCGACGGCTAGACCCGTATGGCTGCTCAGATGCGACAGCGGCTCCCCAGGCAGCTGCTCACCTGCCGCCAGCGCCGCCGCCGCCACGCCTGCGGCGGCGGCAGCGGCGGCGGCTTCCGCGGCCGACGAGGGCCCTTGCACCTCCGCCATACCCGCATCCACATCCCAAGCTGTCGCAGCCGCCACTGGGGCGGCAGCCGCGGTCGCCATCGCCGCTGCTGCTGCATCAAGCGGCCGACTGCTCTTGTGCACCCTAGCCGCCTCCGCCAAACCTGCAAGGTCCGCCTCGCTGTATGTGGCAGCGGAAGACAGTGGCCGTTTCCGAGTGGTCCCTGCCACCGGGCCGCCCGCGCCGCCCGCAGCGACGCCGGCCCCGCCACCCGCATGGTACGGCAGGGAGGGATCTTGCTGCTGCAGTAGGTTGTTGATGTTGTTGTTATTGTTGTTGTTATTGTTGTTGTCATTGTCCCAATCCTGCTGCCAGGGAATGCTTCCCTCGGGGCGGTTCAAGGCGCCAGGTGCAGACATGGTTTCCTGAAAGGCCGGGTTGCTGCCATGAAGGGGTCCGCCGCCGGGACCGGTCTGCGGTCGTGGGAGGGGCGGCAGCGGCAGCGATCCCCAGGCAGGAACCCCGCCGGGCGGTAACTGCTGCTGCTGTTGCTGCTGCTGCGGGTGTGGGGCCGATTGTGATTGTGGTGGTAAGAGTGTCTGTTGCAAATGGGGCGATGACGAAGGCAGCGGTGGCGATTGCTGCTGCTGCTGCTGCTGCTGGTGGGGCAGCAGTAACGACGGCGGGGGCGCAGCGTTCGGTGGCTGTGGTAGGGGCTGCTGCTGCTGCTGTTGGGGCGATGGTTGGATTACCTCGACCTTAACCGCTTTGGCATACGAGGCTTGCATGAGGAATACCCCACTGCCAACAGAGGCCGCGGGGACTCTGAGTGGGCAACTCAGGAGTAGCTGTAAACACTTCGCTGTGGGGGCCGTCTGAAGCAAAAGGCAAAGGTGTTGGGTTGTGAGGCGCACGGCACAAGGTTGGGGTGTGTCAATGACGGTCAGCTGGTGCAGTAGCTAGTGCTGTACCTGTGTGTCGCCTTAGTCTGTGTGTCGCCTGGGGACCGGTGCAAAGGGGAGGCGTTAGGATCGCCGTGCGATGTGCTGCGGGGCGAACCGTGGGTCAGCAGCCGACGACGCTGATTAACGTGGGCACTGTGAGAGGGCGCTGTAGTGGTGCGCTGCCGTTGGCGCCGCTCGCTCGTGTTTCCTGCTCCCCTCGCTGCAGCCTCACATTTGCCATGCAGCTGGCATGTTGATTGACGGCCTACCGCTATCCCTTAGCACGTGCCACGTAACATAGGTAACCCCTCATGGCTTCATTACTGTCAGCACAGGTGCAAGTGGAGGGAGACTGTGTTTGTGTTAAGAAAACTGGCCGCGAGTAGGAACGTGTGTGTGCGTGTTGATGTGCCTTTGCTACTATGCCCAGCTTCTTACGTGGCAGTTTGAAAGCGGGTACGTTTTAACGGGATGTAGTTGTCAGCATCAACAGCACATCTCAAACCACCGGCTGCCAGCAAGCAAAGGTGTTTGGCAAGGAAAGGAAGGTAGTTGCAAACGGCGACCAAGCCAGGAACGCAGGGCGCAAAGGACAAAGAGGGCGGGCGCAGGGCTACGACCGAGCGCGCAGGGGGGTCCGGGTCACGACCGGCCGCAGCAGGGGCGGAATCCCGGCCTCGAGGGGGCCGACCGGTCGCGGGCTGTCGTCTGACCGTTTGACAGGTCGCGACGGTTGGGACGAGCCGACAGCGGGTTCGGTCGGATCCGTGGCTTCCAATAGGTGGGGCACCTTGGACGGATCGAACCACCGCTAGACGGGCCACAAGAATTCCGCAACAACTTACAGGGAAACATGGATGTTGGGACTGAATGCTGGCTTTGTTTTTCGTGCAGGATGCAACGGCGGATGCAGGACATGATAGGATAAGCAGGCTTAATGCATTCGTATTGAAGATGGAGATTTCCATGATGATAGAAGCATGACAGGTCCGGCCCGCACGGCTTTGAGAGTTCATAGAAACCTACATCGCACATCCTCCCTGTTTTCAACAGATTTTGATGTGGCCGGGCGCATAAGAGATCGAAGTCAGGCAGGCGGGCAGGATGATACCATGTGGGCTCATGCAACTATGTGACGTCGTAAAGCCAAGGCAGGGAGACGTCCCACAACCTTGCATACCTAGATGGTTGCCTAGGGTGCATGTGTGTACGAATGCTGAATGCCTTTCCAAGCGCTTTGCGAGCCCATATTCATCCTTCCGGTTATCTCACCCTATCAAGACGTGAACAATATGCTTCGAAGAGTGGCAGAGCCCGGTTACAATCCAACCGTCGCGTCGACTGACGGTTATTGTGTTGTAACCGGTTTCCGTGCGCCCGGGCTGATAGCGTACTGATGTACAGGGGTCCTTACAGTCCTTATAGAACACCAGAGACAACTCGACAGAACAGCAGCAGCCAAGAATGCCGATACGTTCGCTTCTTCAGCGCTACGCCGGCGGCATCAACGTTAATGAAATCCTCGCATTTTGCACGAAAGGCATAACAAAGCGGGCCGCCTTCTTGGCACCTTTTGCAGGAACCTGGCCGCAAGCAGCCACTCCTCCCGTGCCGAATAATGTTCAGACTTTGCTCCTGCTGATGCCATAAGCACAAGCAGCCCGGCAAAGCAGCCTAGGAGACCCCGAAGCAGCTCCATTCCTCACGCAAAACCGGCGCATTCTTCGGACATGCGGCATAGTCATATGCAGAAGTCCATGCGCTTCAAAAGAGATGCACATAAATCCCAGATACGCCTCAAAAGAGCTGCCTGCCAGCACGCTGCAGCATACGTCTTGTCAAAAGTTGGCATGAATGACCCGACAGATCCGTGCGCCTCGAGCGTCATTCCTCTCCGAGAATGCCTCAACACAACACAACACAAATCAAGAAGGACGGCCGCCAGAGATCCTCTCCCCTCTGGCCTACCAAGGAGTAAAACTGCAACATGTGCAACGTGATATCTTCCTCTTCTCCTTCCTCTCCATGTGGCGCCATGTGGCTCCACGAAGCGCTGCAGCTCTCTGCACTGGGACTCTGCCGCCCCCCCCCCCACAGTCCCAATCCGGTCTGGACTGTGACTGTGTTGTTGCACTTCTTTATAATTCCCCCCCGGCACGACTTACCGAGGCCTGGGTTCCATTTGTTTCTCTCTGACCCCCACCCCCACACCCCAACGAACCATGAACCGCCGCTGAGCCAGCAACCACCCAACGCCATGTACGGTCCCCTTCCTCCTCCGCCATCTCCTCCTCCTGCCCAACCCCTCCCCACCTCCCAGCCCTCCCCACACATGCACACCCACTCACACTCACATACACACGTACAAGCCACACGCACGTTTGCCTCTCCAACCCTCCCTCAGATCACATACGTTTCACGCGACCCATCTAACTCAGCCCGCAACCCCCCGCCCCCCGACACACACACGCACGCACCTAAGCCCCGCCACGACCTGCCCCTCCGGCCGCCCCGCCACTGCCACCCCCGCTGCCGCTCCCCCCTGCCGCTGCTGCCGCCGCCGCCGCTGCCTCCTTGGCCGCCGCCGCCTCCCTCCTCGCCGCCGCCAGCTTCTCCGCCTCCTCCAGCACCGCCTCGGCCGCTGCGCCCAGGCCGCGACCCCGCAGCGCCTCTGCCAGGGAGCGAACCTGAGGAGGGGAGGGGGGGAAGGAGGGGGGAACGGGAGGAGGCCGGAGAGGGCGGTAGCGGGTGGGTGTTGAGGGCGGAAAAGATGCGCGGGGGTTGTTGAGTGGCGCGAACTAGCCGTACGGTACAGGAGCGGGCGAGGCGTTGAGTGCACAGGTGTTTCCCTTTTCGGTTCCCATTGGATTTCTCCCCCTCGCTGCACCCCTTCCCCTCCCCCTAGGCCCCCCACCTCCTGCTCCGGCATGCGGTATGGCGAGTACTGCGGCCCGGGGAACACGCGCTCCTCCACCTCCTGTCGGTAGCGCTGCAGCGCGGAGCCGATGATGTCGCCCACACGCGCGTACTGCTTGCAGAACTTGGGGGTCACCTGCAGGGCGGAGGGGGGGGGGGGGGTAGGCGATGAGGGTTGCAACATGGGGGTTGCAACATGGGGGTTGCAACATGGGGGTTGCAACATGGGGGTTGCAACATGGGGGTTGCAACATGGGGGTTGCAACATGGGGGTTGCAACATGGGGGTTGCAACATGGGGGTTGCAACATGGGGGTTGCAACATGGGGGTTGCAACATGGGGGTTGCAACATGGGGGTTGCAACATGGGGGTTGCAACATGGGGGTCGCAACATGGGGGTTGCAACATGGGGGTTGCAACATGGGGGTTGCAACATGGGGGTTGCAACATGGGGGTCGCAACATGGGGGTTGCAACATGGGGGTTGCAACATGGGGGTTGCAACATGGGGGTTGCAACATGGGGGTTGCAACATGGGGGTTGCAACATGGGGGTTGCAACATGGGGGTTGCAACATGGGGGTGATTGGAAATTATGGCTTAGTTTGTCCACAAGAAGTGGGGCAGGGAGCAGGCGGCGGCGTGGGGAAGAGTTTGGTTGGGGGAGGGCGGGAGTTGTTGTTTTGAGGCAACAACAACTCCCTCCCTCCGGGACAGGTGCTAACGGTGTTTAAATAACTGGCCGCGAAGAGAAACGCGTGTGTGTATGGGGGTGTTCAGGAGTGGCTGGGATGCTCCGCGTGAAGTCCTAGGTGCAGCAGCACGGGGGCAGCGCAGTCAGGGGCGGCGGGCTGCAGTGGTCGCATGCGGGTGCGGGCCAGAAGGGAGGGGAGGGGGGTGGCGCCTTCCAACGCCCGCAAGGCCTTCCAGGAGCACTCCAGCAGGGTCGCCCGCGTGGGGCTATGGCCCAGGGTACGGTGTACGACACCGGTATCCCACTCCCACCCTCCCACCCATACACACACACGTTCCTACTCGCGGCCAGTTATTTTAACACACGCGCCCACCTTGGCATGGTGCGGGTGGCTCATCATCCCCAGCAGGTCGTGATACACCAGCACCTGAGGGGCAGGGGAGGAGAGGGGGGGGAGGGGCCATGAGCTTCACGCATGAGAGGGCACATTACGCCAGTTTTTTTGACACACGATGCAACAGGAGTGCATCTGCCTGACACCATCCCGACCACCATCACCATACCAACCACCGCATCCCAACACCCCTCCCCCTCCCCCCACCTGTCCGCTGCACTCCCCGCCCGCCCCGATGCCGATGGTGGGTATGCTGAGCACGCGTGTGATGCCCGCCGCAATGGGTCCGGGTACGCACTCCAGCACCAGCGCGAAGCACCCTGCCCGCTGCAGCGCCTGAGCCTGATCCAGCACACGCAGCGCCTCCTCAGCTACCTGGGCCTGAGGGCGGAAGCCGCCTGGGGGGGAGGGAGGGGTGTGGTGTGAGGTGTAGTGAGAGTGGAGAAGGATGAGGAGAAAGGGAAGGAGGAGGAGGGAGGGATACCATGCCGGCAACGGTGCCGACGGTGTTTGGTACGACACGCACCCCACCCCACCTATGGCGCTGACGGACTGCGGAGTGAGGCCCACGTGCCCCATCACCGCCACCCCGGTCTCCACGATGGCTCGAGCAGCCTCCACACGGGCGGGACTGCCGCCTGGGGGGGAGGGGAGGGGAGAAGTTGGGGGAAGGGAGGTTGAGCTGAGGAGGCAAGGACGAGGAGGGAAGGGCCGAGGAGGCTACCTGGCTGCACGACAGTAGCGGGTTGGGTCCAGGGTGGCGGACTGCCGAGCTGGTAGGGGGTGGGTGTTGAACAGGGTCTAACTTACTGCCCGACCCCATACCGCTCGTCTGCCCCTCGCCACATACATGAACGTTACCTTCCTCATCCTCCCACAGGGGCTCCGTTGCCTCACTTTCAATTTACATTATCCCCACCCCACCCACCCACCCCGGTCAAGCCCCCCACCCCGCTCACCCTCCAGCTTCACCGCGTCCATGCCGCCCTCCTTGAGCATGCGCACCGCCGACTTGACGGCGTCCCGTGGGTCGGTCTCGTAGCACCCGAACGGCAGGTCGCCCACCTGGGGGGGAGGAGGGGGGAGAGGGAGGGGTGTAGTACGGCAGGGGGGCGGCAGTACGGCAGGAGGAGGGGAGGGGTGGTGGGTGAAGGCTACCCGATGGGCGTGTGTGTTAGGAACACAACTGGCCGCGGAGAAGAATACCGGTACGACCCGCGAACATACCGGTACTGGGGGGGGGGCGTGTGAGGGAACGAGCAGGCGCTCGCTCGCTTACACTCCTACACCCCTACACCTCTACACTGCATGTTGCTCGCTGCATGCTGCATGTGCTGCATGTGAGCAGCGCAGGGCGAGACGGCCTGCCGGCCCCACCAGGCGACGAAACACCACCAGCCTTCTCCTTTCTTCCCATACCGCCAATGCCCTTCAACTCCCTTCCTTCCCCTCCTTGCAGCTCAGCCCCCTCTGCCCCTTCCTCCCGCACTGCCTCCCTCCCTCCCCCCCCCTACCAGGAACGCCCTCCTCGCCCCCCTCGCCACCGCCCGGCAGTGGCTGGTCATGTCGTCCAGGCTGATGGGCAGGGTGGTGTCGTGTCCGTGGACCACCATGGCAGCGCTGTCGCCCACAAGCAGGATGTCGATACCCGCTGTATCAACCTGGGAGGAAGGGGGGGGGGGTAAAGGGGTGAGGGGGAAGCAGGGGGGAAGGGGGGTCAGGGGAGGGGGAAAAGGGAAACGACTAACGAACCGTGTGATAAGGTGTCATCATCATGGCGTCATCCCCGACCCGCCCAGCCCGAGTTGGGCAAGCCAGTAAGGGTCAGGAGGAGGGGTGCAGGGGGGACGAGTGGGGGGGAGGGGTAATGGAAGGGGCGGAGGCAACAGGACGTATACTAAACACACACACGCTCACAGTACGTTCCGCCTCGCGGCCAGTTATTTGAACACACGCTTACATGTACGGCGGAGGGGTAGTCGTACGCCGTCACCATGGTCAGCGGCTCCCCCGCGTCGTACTTCTTGCGGATGGTTCGCAGCGTGACTCGGGCGGTGCGGGGCGAGGGGCCCGCATACACAGCAGCCTCGGGTTGCACAGAGAGGGGGCGGCGGAAGGGCTGCGAGAGAAGGGGGGCTTGGTGCTGGTGCTGAGGGTGGGGGTGCTGATGATGATGTGGGTGCTGAGGGTGGTGAGGTTGAGGGTGATAGGAGTGTTGTGAAGGGAGAGTGGGCGCTTTCCAGCGGTGGTGGTGCAGGAGCTGTTGTTGTTGTTGGGATGTGGGGTTGGGGAGGTGAGTAGGGGTAGCTGGCAGGCCGTTGCTTTGGGTGTTGCTAGCGGCGCTGATGCTGATGTTGCTGGTGCTGTTTGAGTGGGATGCGGCAGCAGCGGCGACTGTAGCGGTATCTGAGGGTGCTGAGGATGCAGGGCTGAGCTGCGGGGATGGTTGGGCTCCGTCAAATGAACCACTGCACGCATGCAGCAGTCGCCATGCGTTGACGCCACCGGGGACGCGCCGGGAGAGGGACAGACGAGTGATGGCTGATAGTGGAGTCATGGAGAGCGCGGCGCTTGAGGGGGTCGCAGTTTGTGCGCAGGCAACGTGCGCGGCTACGAGGTGAGGGGATGAGGGGGATGCATGTTATGTAATGCAAGCAGAGCTTTGGGTCCCAAGCGTGCGACAGGAAAGTCCTAAGACGTGTCAAGTAATATACGATTTGCACAACGAAATGTACAATACGATACGATATGGGAAAGGAGTGATGCGCCCTGTGCGTTGACCCGCGATTAAGCTCACTTGGTTCCAGCGAGCCCAAAGCAGCAAAGCGTTATTATATACCTTGCAAGACGCCTAGCCTAAACAATACCTGATAGTGAAGACTGCGCGGCAACCTTTGCACATAGTTCACGAAGCTTTGGTCCCGCCGACATTGCTGGCGACAGCTTAGCAGCGCTTTACGTCAATATGAGGTGTAGCCAAACCATTGACAATTTTCTAGGAAACATACAAATTACAGCAAATGTTGATATCCGCCGTCCTTACACGTTTGGGGTGCTTTTTCGAAGATATCACTTATTCAGCACGTTGTCCAGGCTATCAAAGGGGATGAGACAAAGCAAAAATAAACTTACATCTAGCTATACCACTTTTAGGATTAGGAATTGGCGACACAACGTTTGACACGTGAGTAAAGCAATGATCAAGGATTTGACTGCCATATTCGCTTACAGACCGAGACATGTAGCTTTAGCTTCCAAGTGCGATCGCAACTTGTGCAAGTATCTCCAAACAAGCTACGTTCTGCAACTAACCAATGGCCCGCGGGTCTTGGAATGTATGTTTGTGCCGATATTGCGTGAGTTTAAACCTTTGCTAATAGTGCTTCTACAACGACTATATGCCTTGTCACCTCATGTCAGGAAAGGGAAATTCGCAGCGCTGAAGTCTTGGAACTTGCAATGAAATGTCGAAGCACTTCAGCATAATGAGCTTAAAAATGTAATGTGTATAACTATGCATTGGGTGTGCATGCATCGGTAGGAAAATTATTTCCTTGCTTTTTTACCGGTACTGAGTCGACGTCAGGCCGAGGGCATTACCTCTTACCAATTCACTAGGCCCTTATTGTAGAGACATATTCAGTATTTGCGTTCTACATTTAAGTCTCCTTCAGCACAATTCGCTGGACTTGCACGTGGGATAGAGGTTGCAATCGTCGACCACAAATGCGACAGCGTCACATCAGCCTCGCATTTCCCTTGCCAAGCTGAATTTTACAGCAGCATTTATAACCAGTTTCTCAGTCCTTCGGCCGGCGCATCATCCAAGCTCACTTTGAGACTAGCTCGGAGAGCATCCGCCGGTGGCGACCCAACTCCGCAGCCGCGGCTTGCTGTAAATATCCATTCCAAACCCCATAGGTGCCTAGGAGCATAAAACCTTGGGTTTTACTGCCGCAAACAGCCAGGCCCAACCAGAGCCATTCGTCACGCTGCTCTAGCTCATCTCGAGCACAACATCCCCAGCCGCCACCACGAGCCCGCCCTTAACCAGTAACGCGCGTTTCCTCCTCTTCCTCCACCCTACCTCCCCTCCTCCTCCTTATCCACACGGCCCCACACTTCCCGTTCCCTACTACCAACCCCCTTCCTCCAATCCACCATCCCCAGCCACGCCGGCCAGCCCTCCCGCCTTAACCGACCTGCCGGCAACCCCTCTTTCCCAGCATGGATCCCTTCTCCATGGCCCCTCCCTGGAGCCCCATGGCGGCCATGGCATTCGGGATGGCCCAGGCAGCAGCCACACCACAGGCCAAAGCGCACGCACTTGCGCTCATGCAAGCGCAAGCCGATGCACGAGCGCGAGCTGAGGCCGATGCGCAGCGTGAGGCCGAGCTCCGAAGAATTGCCGAGAATACGGTCAAGGATTTCGCTCGCATTTGGACTCCCGAAACTGGCGGCCCCGTGCTAAGGGCTTTGGACAACGTCAACAATTTGCGGTCCGGCGTCTACCAAGATCTGATCCAAGCACGCACACTACGCGCACTGTCAATCCAGGACGGCATGCCGTACAGTCCCTTCGCCGGCGTTCCGTGCTACAGCCTGTGCCAGACGAAGACGGCGCTGCTGACGTCACGAGGCGGTACGGCCCAGATTTTGGCGCTGCACCAACAGCGGCGGCGGGAGGTGGTGCAGCGGAGTGAGTCGGCGTTTCGTGCGGCTCGGGAGGGGCGGGGAGTGGGACCGGAGCTGGGGCTGCGAGGGGGCGAGCAGGATCCGCAGCAAGATAGGGAACAGAAGCAAACGAAGAAGGAGGAGGAGGATATGGAGGAGGAGCGGGGGCGACAAGTGCAGGGGGAGGGGTGTCAAGACTCTGAGAGGCAAGAGCAAGAGGAGAAGGAGGAGCTGCAGCAGCAACAGCCGCATGCGGGTGGGCGGGTGGACAGGGGGGAGGCCGCCGAGGCTGCTCCGAAGGGGGCAAGGGGTGTGGAAGCAGACCAGCCGGACGGCAACACAGGTACCGCTGAAGGGGCCCAGGTGCCGCAACGGGCGGCATGCGGAGGTGACGGGCCCCCGTCGCCGCCGCCAGTGAGGCCGGCCGGAGATGGAGGCGACACGGCCCCTCCGCTCGCAGCCCCCTCCTCCACGGGCACAGGTGCCTCACCAGCTTCGACCTCGACCTCTGCCTCGACCTCTGCCTCGACCTCTGCCTCGACCTGTTCTTCCATGCCGGTAACACCCATCTCACTATCCGTGTCGTCTTCCTCTCCCGGTTCCGCTTCCTCCCATTCCGGCCCCGTCGCCGCCGCCGCCGCGGCAGCAGCCGCAGGAGGACAAGCTTGCGATATTGGGGAAGGAGGAGCAGGCGTTGCATCAGCGACAGCAGCAGCGACAGCAGCAGCAGCAAGCGGCACGGAGGATGGGGGGCAGGAGGGGCCCGATGCTGGCGGCTCGCCGGATGAGGCGGGTGGGCAGCAGCAGCAGCAGCGGCAGCAGCGGCAGCAGCGGCAGCAGCAGCAGCAGCAGCTGTCGGCGCAGATCCTGCGGCGGTGCTACAAGCTGATGTCCGCAGGCGCGGAGAGGATGATGTAGGTGGCAGGGCAGGGCAGGGGATTAGATAAACTGAGCCGCGAGAAACCACTGACCGTGACCATAGGATGACCCGTTGGCGTTGGGGAGGGGAGGGAGGAGGTCAGACATGGTCTCATCCTTCCTTTCCCTTATGAGACAGCGCCTTCTACCAACACCACAGTCACTGCCAGCCATCCAGCTCACCCGGGTTTACACACGCCTATGCGCGCTCCCCCACATGACCTCCCCTAACCCCGTCTCCCAAACCCTAATTCCCCAACCCTAACCCCCTTCCTCCGCCTGCAGGCCCGACTTCGACTGGGACGAGGAGGACGCGCAGGACTGCAGCCGGATGCTCGCCCTGGGTCGCCAGCTGCACCTGCCGCCCGGCCTGCTGACGAGGCTGGCGGCGGGCGGCCTGACGCCCCTGATGCCGGCCGGGAGCAGCGGCGGCGGGGAGGACGGCCCCGGCAACCCCAGCAGCCCCGACACTGAGAGCAGCAGCAACAGCGGCTGCGGCGACGGCAGTAACGTGGACAAGAGCAGTAGCAGCAGCAGCAGCGGCAGCAGTGTTGGCAGCAGCAGCACTGTGAGCGTGGCAGAGCTGGAGGCGCTGGAAGCCACCATACGGCGGCTGCGTGGGCATGATGGTGATGGTGGCGGTGGCGGCGGTGGATCTGGATTTGGATTTGGTTATGGTGCGGGTGGCTTGGCGGGCAGCAGGTGGCAGCAGCTGTCAAGCACGCAGGAGGAGGTATACGCCGACACGCTGCAGGAGCTGGCGTTGCGATACTTCCTGGTGCGGCACTGCATGGGGGACCAGGGGAGCAGCGGCGGCGGCGGTAGCAGCGGGGTCGGGGGCGGAGGCGGCGGCAGCAGCGGGGGTGGAGGCGGCGGCAGCAGCAGCAGCGGCAGCAGTGGCGGTCTGGGTAGCGGAGGCAGCCTGGTGGGCCGGCTGGCGGCTGTTGCAGCTGTGCGGAGGAGGGTGATGCAGGGGCGACAGGGGCAGCAGGGCAGCGGAAGTAACGGCAACGGCAGCAGCAGCAGCAGTCATCAGAACAAGGTTGGGAGGACTAACACCGCCGCCAACGACAGCAGCAGCAACAGCAGCAGCAGCAACGACAATGATAAGGAAGCCGCAGTGGGTGTGAGCCCACAAGGGCCGCAGCAGGAGGAGGAGGAGGAGGAGGAGGAGGAGGAGGAGGTGGTGTGCTGGGTGGACGCGGGGGGTGAGGCTGCGTTGCTGCAGGAGCGGGGGTGGTTGGGGTTGCTGACGCCGCAGCAGCAGGAGGAGGACCTGCCGACGCAGGTAACAGCGGCGCTAGCAGCAGCAAAGACAGCGCCAACCCCACCATCAGCAGCAGCAGCAGCAGCAGGAGGGGCAGGAGCAGCGGCAGCAGGAGGGGCAGGGGCAGCTCCTTTACGTCTGCTGCCGCTGACACTCCGCGACGTGCGCATCGGGACCCGGTGGGCGGAGCGGGCTCACGCTGCGGGCCTGCTGGCAGCGCAGGTGCTGCTGGAGGATGCTTTGGAGGAGAAGGAGGAGGGGCGAGGCGGGGCGGGGGGCGGCTGGGGCAGCAGCGGCGGTAACGCCTTAGCGGGGATCTCGGGGGCGTCGCTGCGGGGTCTACGGCTCGCGGGGTTGCTGCTATGGGATGATGATGACACGGAGGGAGCAGGAGGAGGAGCAGGAAGAGGGAGTGGCATGCAGGGAGCGGGAGCGGGGGCAGCAGCGGCGGTGCCTTTCGGACGCGAGGAGTCGGGTCTTGAGGCCACTGCCGCTGCTGCCGGCGTTCCCGAGAATGGCCTTCGAGCTGTGCAGTTGATGAGGTTTGGGGAGCTATGTTTGCTGGCTCAGGTGGGGGACTGGGTACCGGTAGAAGGGGAGCCGCGGGCGGGACAGCGACCGTAGCGGAGCATTAACGCACCAGAGTGTGATGGGGGGTGTTGGTGTGCAAGGGACCTGTTGGGGGTTCCCGCGGGTTGCTGAAGGCAGGCAGGGTCTCTCTTGCACTCATGCGCTCGTGCGCCGTCGTCATATCCACCTCCATGCTAGCCTGCTGCCATGCCGCCACCACCTCACCTCGCTCTTCATCTCAGCAGCGCCAGAACGGTTGTCCTTCTCCCGCTACCACACGGCCTCCAAAACCACTAACAACAACAGCAGCAACACCCACCGACTCCCGCACCCCGCCCCTGCCGACCCGTGGGTCGCCGCAGGCCACCCTGTCGCGGCAACTCTCGGAACCCATCGTCCTTGCGAAACTGCCAAACGCGGCAGCGGAAGTGTTCATGCGGATGTGGTGGGTGCGATCCGGCCGCCGAGCCACCAAATCGGACCCTGAGGTGGAGGCCCTGTGGTTGCGGTCGCAGCGGGGGATGCTACGCGAAACGGTGCATGCGGATTTCTTGCGGTATGCTGAGGAGGGGCTGGATGATGATGAAAGGGTGAGAGACCCATGGGTCGGGCTGGGGCTTGGGGGCTTGAGGGATTGAGCTGGATTGAGGGGAAGTGCGAGTAGCAGTCCGCTGTGGGTAAGGGGGGAAAATACCTGTAGAGCTGAGGCAATGAGCGCAACCATGCTTTTTGAACTACAGTTGGAATCGTTTTTTCTGTATCCTCAGCAAGCTCGTCTGCACTGTCGCCCTCATGCGCTCACCTTACCACTGATCCGTATACTCTTTACCACGCATCTCCTGTCGTACTGGATTTTCGTACGACAGGAAATCGTACTGGCTGCTCAGGGTGCTCTCACTGGGGCCTTACGTGCGTTTAGCTTACTCCATGGGAACCGGGAAGTCCAAGGGGTGCGAGGGACGTTCGTACGCGCGGTCATGAGGGCAGCGGCGGCGGCGGCGGAAGCGCGTCAGGTGGCGCTGGCGGCGGCGACGAGCAGTGTCGGCCGTACGGTGCCGCCGCCGGTCCCATTGGAGGTACGACCGTTGTCGCTGCAACCGCCGCCGCCGCCAGCAACGGCGGCGGAGGGGGAGGAGGAAGACGGCGGCTACGATTGCACTGCTCCGTACATGATGCTCGTACGGCAACGTAGGGTAAGCCGCGTGCGTGTGTGTGTTTGTGTGTGTCGGGAGTACGGAAGGTAATGCAGATATGTCATGTCATATCATGTTAGCAATGGGGACAGCTTCTGGCAGGATGCGACTGCATTGCACATTCTTGTGTGTGACAGCTGTGACAGTTACTCCACAGCACCGACAGCAATGCAGTAATGCAGCAATACCTTTCCCGGCCTCCTCCCCGGCTAATACGGTAGCGTGCACTACTTCCCCCGGCTGCAGGCGAATCCGGCGATGTGTCTGTTCGACTCGGCCGACCCACGGGTCACCGCTGCGCTGCTGCACCTGGCGGCCTGGAGGACGTATGTGGAGTGCGGCAGCACCAGCGTGGCTGACTCATTCCTGGTAGGCATTATTCGTAGTACGACATGTCGTAGTACGGCATACCGTGGTACGGCATTCGTAGGGCAGCACTTGCCTCCTGCCTTGCTTGCATGCCTTGCATGCACAGGAAGATGCTGCTCAGAGCAGCACGTTTGGCACCATATCCACATCCTGGATGACTCTCGTGTGTGTGCTGCCCAACGGTACGCCCCTCGCTGTGTTTACTGAGCGCCGTGGGAGCCATGTGGTGGTGGTGGTGGTGCTGCTGCTGCTGGTGCTTCTCCTCCGCCGCGATCTCTGCCCCCCACGCCACCCCACCCCACCCCACCCCCCTGCCAGGTGGCCGCCTTACCAGTCATTCGACCTGATCTCTCCTACGACGAACGCCGGGTGAGTCGAGATAAGACATGAGCCCCCACTGCTGCTTTCACTACCAGCCCGTAGACGCATCCAGAGCACCAGCGCGGCAGCGGTACTCCCCTCACGCCCTGCATGGGGTTCCCTTAATGCTGGCTTCATGGGCTACTGGCTTAGTGCCTTAGTGGCTTAGTGGCTTTTGCTGGCTTAGCGGCTTTGCCAGGACGCACGGCTCCTTCCAAGTCTGGTGCCACACGGGATGTCGCCAAACGCATGCATGCCGCGACGCGATGCAGCGCAGCGCTGGAGCGAACCCTCCCCTCCCACCTTACTTACAGTGCCCTTATTTGCCGCCCCACGCGCAGGACGCCTTCCGCGGCGCCCCCGGCTCGCCGCCCCACCTGCTGCTGTGCCTGCGTGGCAGGGAGAAGGACCCCTTGCCCCGCACGCCGGCACTGGTGCTGCAAGGCGGCGAATGGTGGGTGGGGTGGGGCGGTTGGGATCGGTTGCAGAAGGCTTACCGTTGGCATACCGGTAGTGTGGCGGCGTTTGCGGTTGCTTCTGTTGATGAACCTTTTAACTTGGTTGGGTATATCCGCTGTTACACACCGTCTGCCATGCCTTTTAAGGTAGAACTTGAGTGTAACAAAGCAGCAGCAGCAGCAGACGACACCGTTCTCTATGATTTAGATGCCATTCCTTGCTTGCCACACTGCCGCACTGCACAGGAAAGGAGAGGAGGGGAAGGACTCGCATGCTTTAGGATTCCTTGTCCTGTGTCAGTGCCCTGACTCGCTAACTACACCCCTCCGTGTCGTACGCCCCCCTGCCGTACCGCATGTTGCCGTACGCTTGCCGCACCCCCGCAGCTTCGACCAGGTCTACAACGCCGCCCTGGCCCTGCTGAACCAGAGAAGCAAGGTACGCCCCTTGTTTCCCACAGCGCAGGGGCCACCGAATGGATCCACTCCTCCAACCAGCTACCCACGGTATTCCCGGTGCAACCCGGTGCCGCGGCATCTCATCCCTCCCTCCACTTCTCCCTCCCTCCACTTCTCCCTCTCTCCACTTCTCCCTCCCTCCACTTCCCCCTCTTCCATTCTCCCCTCTCCGTCCCCCTGACCCCAGCTAGGAGCTTGTCACCTCAACAACCTGCCACCCACCCACCCACCCCACCCCTCTATTCCTCCTCCCTCCTCCCCACCCCTCACCCCACTCCTCACAGCTCGCCAGCTTCCTCCATTTTACCCCTCAACCCACTCCGCATCAACTCCCTACTCCTCCTCGCTCCTCATGCAGGGCTCGCTGTCGCGCCAGACCCTGCGCCCCTTCGCCTCCCCCTCCCCCTCCTGCGTGCTGCTGCTGGAGCTGCAGGGCAGTGCAGCCTGCCACACAGCTCTAGCAGCACTGGCGCTGGTGAGAGGGGCGGGGCGGGCGGGGGGGGGGGGGATGGTGGGGGGGCCTTGCGAGCTACCGGTAGTTCGAATGGGCGGTTACTACTCTTACCTCATCAGCAGTATACGACAGCCGTTGGAGAAGCAGCCACCACCCTCTCAATCGGCCATTTCTTGCCCAAAAGGCTTTTTGGTTTGTTCTGTTGCACCTTATTAGTTATTACCCTCTGAATATCCGTACTTACTCCTTACCTCCTTTCCCTGCTCCCCGCCGGCCCTCTCCCACCCCACTCATTCCCCCATCCGCATCAGGCCCACCAGTTCGTACACGCAAACCGTGCCCCGGCTCCCTCCACCACCTCCACCACCTCCACCACCTCCACCACCTCCACCTCCACCTCCACCTCCACCTCCACCTCCACCTCCACCTCCACCTCCACCTCCACCTCCACCTCCACCTCCACCTCCACCTCCACCTCCACCTCCACCTCCACCTCCACCTCCACCTCCACCTCCACCTCCACCTCCACCTCCACCTCCACCTCCTCCACCACTTCCTCCACCCCCTCCACCTCCTCCTCCTGCCAAGGCCCCCGGTCCCGGCTGGAGTGCCGCGTCCTGCTGCCCGACACCTCCATCAGGTCCGTCATCGCCACCGCCAAGCACCCCGCCACGCGGGCCCTGGTGGGTGCGCTGCGGGACGCCGCACGTGACCCACGGGTCGCTTTCCACCGCGGCGGGTCCGGCAGGCGGCAGCTTGAGGGGCTGTTGGGGCGGTGGGGGGATGCGGCGGAGTGGGAGGGGCTGCCGGTGAGGGTGGCGGTGAGCTGGGGCATGGTGTTTGGCGCGGGGGGTAGGGTGTGAAACGGAGAACAATGCGAGGTGTGTAGGGAGGTAAAGAGGAAACAACTAACTGACTGAGGGATAAGGCGTCAACATGGGTTGCAACATGTGAGCCAGCCCGAGGTGTAGGGAGGGGCGTGGGGGAAGGGGGTGGATGTCGTGGGATGTGCGGATGTGTGTGTCCGGAGGTATGTTGGGCGGGAAGTCGGCTAGTAGTACCGGTATGAGGGTGTGTGCCGTTTAGAGGTAGAGGACGTGGGTTGGTGAGGAGGTGCAGCAGGGGGACAGCGACGTAATCGTGGGTAGTCACGCACAAGGAGGGGTAGTCACACCCCAAGGCAGGCAGCTTTCAGGTGGCAGGCGGGTTACGAGGTAGTAGAGGTCTTGCATCAGGGATGTGTGCGTGCAACTTCCATATTGCTGCTGCACTGCATTGCTTGGGCTGGAAGGGCCGGCGAAGGGGCGGCGCGGGTTAGGCAGGTAAAGGGGCGGTATAAGGCCAGTATAAATGAGGCGAGCCGAGCAAGGCAGGCTGGCAGTGCAGGATAAGCAGGGTGTTCAATAGCCTGTTACAGGCATTGTGCAACTTCATATCAGGAGCCATACGTGTGCTGTATGATGGTGCATGCGAGGAGACGGTGACAGAGCAGCCGTGACATTAGCGCAGCCGTGATTGAATGTAGGGGTCTGTCATCGGCGCAAGTAGAGGTATGTATTACATTGTAGGGTAGGCATGTGTCCCTCACAAATGGTTTGTGCCATAAAGGGTTCTGCACGGCTTCCGCAATGTGTCTGTATACGCGTGTTAGGATTGCATTCCGGCGTTACACATTATGATTATGGCACTTTGTGTGCTTTGTGGCATTGTCGACCGGAGACTCTTATACAAACTGTATGATGACGTGCACGGCGTGCTGTTTATCTTGAAATGGTGTCCCAGCGACGGTGTAAAGTCGGAGAATTGGGTCGCGACGACTCGGCTACCTCGAGCCTAATAATTCGGCCATACGCGCGTTAACATGAATGGAAAGGCGTGTTCAAAATTGGGCCACGGCTGACTCGGAAAGCGCCAAAGCGCAGAAGAGCTACAAAACTACCTCGCTCCCGGCCAAAGGGTACATGACAGCTGGGAGGTGCATTGCCGGTAACACATAAGAACATGGATAGCGACGTGCACATAGTACATCATATTAATTGGGGCACGGACTGATGAGCCTTGCACTCATATGTCTTATATTGCTATGCTGATACGGCGCCAATGCATAGCCGCATATTACCGGACCAACCCAATAGCACAACGACACATTGTGTGCTTGTATGCTAGGGATCGGAAACTAGCTACACAAAGACGAGGACGGCCTCAGCGCTTCCTCTTGCCCCACAGATCCGTGACCATACACGGGGTTGACACTTTTGCAGCTTGTTGACGTAATTCTGTCAATAGGATCGTCAATCTTACTATATTCTGGGTTTCAAGGCACGATCACTGTCTTGTCGCTGGCCTTGATCCATGCCCATCAGGGCCGAAGGGCTATGACGCCGCTAATTTTATAGATTACTTAGGACGGCTCTGACACCATGGCTCCTAAAGGGAAGGCTAGCAGCGGCACGGACAGCAGCGGCGGCGGAGAGAAGGACCTTAGCTTCTTTCAAGAAGCATTCAGTAAATATAGGGCCGATCCTGATGGCTTCTCTAAAAAGGGTGGGCAGCTAGCAGAGCTAGAACGGCTGAGCAAGGACGATGGCGCTAGTGCTCAGGAGAAGCTCTTGGCTCGGCTGTGCCGTGCACGCATTCTCTACGAGGCAGCCTGCAAAGACAAAAAGATTAAGGAGCGCATGGTTGATTTCGCACAACTTGAAGGGATCTTCGAGCAGCCCCCGCGCAGTTTAACAGCCGCATGCTTGCTCACTGCGTGGTACTGGAAGACGACGGAGGCAGGCCACCAGTGGAGCGCGATCCAGGACTTCATCGGCAGCGTAGTTAGAAAGGCCAAGGGGCTGGACTTAAGCAACGAAGATGAGTGGATGGACCCGGCCGAAGAGGCTGTCGTGCGCGGCAGCAAGGAGAAGTTTGAGGACTTCAAGGAGGGTGCGACGAAGCTGGATCGTCTCAAGGCGCTTAAGAAGCAGATCGAGAAGTTCCATCGAAAGGCGAAGGAAAAAGCGGAGCAGGTATGCTCATCGTCCGTCTGTTGAAGGATTTCCTGAGCGTGCTGTGGGCCGGCTCTGTCCTTGGCTTGCATATCCCGGCACTAGAGATAACTTGCAGCCACGCAGCGCTTGCTATGCTCTCTGTCGGCGGCCTCACCATGGCCACATGTACCGTGGGTCAGCCCTCCTAACAGCCAACCCCCCACTTTTACTCCGTGCATGACCCAACTAAGTCCTCCACACCCCCATCCTGCTTACCTTCCCCGTCCTTCTCCTGCCCATACACCCACAATCCAATCGCGGCCAGTTTCCTTAATCCACAACCCAATCCGACCCCTTCTAACCCCACCCTCCACAACCCGCCCCAACCCGCCGCTCGCCCCAACCCCCTGTCTTCACAGTCCCGCTCCGACACGGCCCTCAACAAACAAACCCTGCAAGCCTTCCTAGCGCAACAAGCATCCCAGCAGCAGCCGCAGCCGGACAAGGAGAAAGACAAGGAGGAGGCCGACAAGGACAAAGAGCAGCGGCAGCAGCAGCAGCAGCCGGGCGAGGAGGAGACGCTGAGGGAGCGGGAGGCGCTGGAGGAGGTGCTGCGGCAGGAGAAGGTGCAGGAGGAGGTGGAGCGGGAACGCAGGCGGTGTTTTGAGCTGCTGGGGGACAAGCTGCGGGCGGCGGGACCCGAGGTGAGGGCGGGAGGCCGGTGGAGGAGGAGGAGGGGAAGGAGGGGGAGGAGGGGGATAAAGCTGGACAAAGAGGAAGAAAACAACCTACTGAAGGATTGGTGGCGGGCGACGCACTGCTCCCTTTGTATGGTTGTTTGCATGTGATCTGCTGCTCTCCCCATCCCGACCGGGTTACCGTGCTCCCTCCGGCTCTACTGCCCCATATGCGCTCACTGCATGCGTCCGGATATGGGATTGGCACTCCCTCGCTCCACTTCTCGTAAATACTTTCATACATACTTTCTTCCTTCCCCCCCCTGCTGTGTCCCTAATGCGGAATCTTCCAACCAAATTAAACCCCTGCTGTGTGCCGCCCGCTGTGTTCCCCCCCCCACCCACCCATGCAGGGCAGCGAGGGCCGCGTGGCGGGTCTCTGTCGGCTGTTCGAGCTGGAGTGGTCGGAGTTCGCTGCCTCGCTGCAGTCCTTCCTGGAGCGGGTGCTTGGGGAGCTGGGCTACCCGGTGTGTGTGGGGGGGGAGGGGGAGGAGGAGTGGAGGGGGGAGGGAATCGGGGAGGGAAAGCAGGAGGAAAAAAGCAGGTTTGCAAAAGTCTTGAATGAGGATGCAAACCAGACGACGAGCTGGGGGAGGGAATGGGGGACTTGTAGGGACTTACTCTGACATGTGTATGACTGTATGTTGAGGTACAATACTTGCATTTGTCAAGTGTTTTGCGGCCGGTTTGGTTTGCATAACGGTACTGCACCACCACAAGCTAAAACCACCACAAGAAAGACAACAGCACCCACAACAGCAGCAGCGCAATAACAGCAGCAATGCAATAACAGCAATCCAACCTCAACCAACCCCCTCGTTCCACCTCTTCGCCCCCTCCCCCCCCCCGCACAGGCCTCCTGTCGCGCCCTCTACTCCCAGGTGCTGTCCGCCCAGCTGTCCCGCTTCCGAACCACGGGTCGCTGGCTGCGGCACCTGCAGCCCGACCTGCGCGCGGTGGTGTGCTGGCAGCACAACTCCGACCCCGCGGCGCTGCTGGGGCTGCCGGCGGGGGGGGCGGACAGGGCGTGAGTGGCTGGGCAGGGCATGCATGGGGGAGGGAGGGGGGAGGGAGGGGTGCTCTGATTGGCATGGGGGGAGGGAGGGCGGGAGGGGGGGCGTGGGGTGCTTTGCATGCTTGGGAAAGGGAGGGAAGGAGGGAGGGGAAAAGAAGCAGTGCGGGCATGGGGGAGGGGAGGGGGGCGTGAGTTGCTTTGCATGATGCATGAGGGAGGGAGGGCGGCAAAATAGCAGTACAGCACGTATGCTTGTCTCGTTGTAAGAAAAAGGAAGGAGCCCCGGACCATAACAGAAAAACACAAGGCTATATGCTAAAGCGCGGTTGCTTGTTCCTTGCAGGGAGGGTGGTGGTGGCGGCGGGGGCAAGGGCGGTGCTGCGGGTCGGAAGGGCGGCGGCAAGGGTGGTGGTGGTGGCGGCAAGGACCGCCCCTCCTCCTCCTCCACCGCTGCTGCTGCTGCTGCTACTGCCTCGGAGGTTGCTGCTGCTGCTGCCGGTGGGCCGCTGGACGTGAGGGAGCAGCTGGAGTGGCTGTCGAGCTGTCTGGGCAGGGTGAGGACTGAGACGTGTAGTTCTCGTGCACATCTGGGCCGTTGGGCTTTGACGTGGAGTGGTCTTCACTTGTCTGGCTACCTGGTAACCGAATGCGGCACTGAGATGACCCGGTTTCCCCTCACTCCCCCTCGTCTCCCACCCTCGTCTTGTGGCACCGTGGCGCCCATCCGGCTTTCCTTGCGTTGCCCTGATTCTTGGTTTGGTATGGTTCCGCCCTTCCCCCCCGCCTCCATATCGGTAGGAAATACTAACCAACCCTTTGTCTTGTGGCGCCCTGCCAACTCCTACCCCCATTGCTTTGCCCTAACTTGTGGTCTCCTATGGTTTGGTATGGTCTTTGACCCCCCCCGCCCGCCTCCAGGGGCCCGGCGAGCCGCTGCGCGCCCAGGTGGTGGAGGCCGCCATGGGTCAGCTGGGTCTGGTCGGGCAGCCGGAGGAGGGCTGCCTGAAGGAGCTGCTCAGGGAGTATGCGCCGGCGCTGGGGGAGGTGGGGCGGGGCAGGGGTGGGGTTGTGGGGTTGGGTGGGGGTTGTGGGTGTTGGCCGCAGGGGGAGGCGGGGGGATGGTGCCCAAACAGGCATGCGTCTTCTGTCGGAAGTTGGCATCCCCATGTGTCAATAGGTCCCATACTACCGGTAGGCCGGCTCTCCCCTTGGTTTGTCTTGTCCCTTCCCTCTTTTCCCCTCGCGGCTCACCTTATCCCTTCTTCCCCCATTGCTTTGCCCTAACCTGTGATCTCCTATGGTTTGGTATGGTCTTTGACCCCCTTTCCCCTCCTAGTGTCTCCGAATGCGCTCACTGCATGAGTCGAGATATGGGATTGGGACTCGTTGTTTCACTTATATAATTTCCCCCCCTCCCCCCCCTCCTCCCCCTCCCCCCCGCCAGGCGCTGCTCATGCGGCTGGTGGATGACACCCAGCTGGCACCCAAGCTGCTGCACATCGGGTGAGGAGCGGGGGGGGGTCAAAGACCGTACCAAACCATAGGAGACCACAGGTTAGGGCAAAGCAATGGGGGTAGGAGTTGGGGTTAGGGGAAAAAAGAAATTCCAAAGTGTGGTGGGGGTAGGGGGGAAGGGAGAGGAAGGGGGGACAGGATTAAAGAAACTGACGGAGGGGGAGGGTGTGGTCTGGGGGAACACGTCTGGGTTGTTACTGCATGACCAGCTGTCCAAAGCAGGGAAGAATGGGGGGAACAATTGGGGTCGGGCGGGGGGCGGGGGGTTACAGTTATGTAGGTTGACGCATTCGGATTGGGCTGCCGTACCCGGGGCTGTCGTACACATTCAGAGCACCCGAGGGGGTGACCGTACGGAATTGGAAGGCAAGGCGGCTTTTCCTTTTTCCCTTCCTCCTCCTTCTTATCACTGTCAGCACCTCCCTCCTCCCCGTTTCACTTCCCCCTCCCGCCCCTCCTTCCCCCTTTCAACACATTGAGCCTTCTTCTCCCCCCCTGCCCCCTGTTGTTTCACTTATATAATTTCCCTCCCTCCTTGCCCTGCTTTTTCATATCTACATTTCCTCCCCCCCCCCGCCCCACCGCAGTGACGACCCCGCCCGCGCCGCGCTGTTCTCCGAGTTCCTGCGCCGCACCCGGCTGGGGGAGCAGCTGGTGGCGGGGGAGCCGCGGGAGGCGGAGGGGGTGGGTGGGGGCGGGGGGGGGGCGGGTGGGGGGGAGGGAGGAGGGAGGGGGGTCGGTGCCATAGAGGAGCTTGGGAGGACCTCCTCCCTTACAGTTACCGGTATCTCTTGAGGTTATGTCTTATGTGAGTCTCTTGTATAGTGATAGTTGCTTCACCTTTTTTTCCCCCCTTCCCCTCCCCCTTTCCCCCCCCCCCGCATGCAGCCCGGTTTCCTCCCCGAGTCGGAGCGCTTCACGCGGCGTGTGGCGCAGTTCTGCAGCGGGCTGGCGGGGCTTCCGGTGCTGCGGAGGTTCGAGGTGGTGGAGGCGCTGGGGCAGCGGTTCGTGACATGTAGGAGGAGGGGAGGGGGGGCAGTGCTTCGTGACATGTAGGAGGAGGGGGGGTTTAGCGGTTCGTTTCAGGTGGTCATGTGACATGTGACAGGTCTGTCTTGAAGGGGGGAAAAGGAGGATTAGAAGAGGAAATGCGTTGAAGGGGGGAGGGGGAGGCGCAGGGGGAAGCGGGGGAGGGGGACGGGAGAACCCTGCAAACCCTGCATGCACGAGTCGGGATATGGGATAGGGACTCCAGTTGCTCCACTTCTCATTCATTTCCACCCTCCCTCCCCCTCCTCGCGCTCCCCCTAGTGGCCCGCATGGAGATCAGCGAGGCGGGCGCCTCGGAGCTGCTGCCGCCGCACTTCGAGCTGCCGGGCAGTCCGACGGAGGTGCTGGAGTCGTCGTACGAGCCGTCGGCACTGCTGCAGGTGCGGATGGGGGGGGATTATGAAAACTGCAGCAAGGGGGGGAGGGGGGAAGGTGCCTTCCACACCCCACTCCCCTAGTAGCTGGTTTTCATATTCGCCTTTACGCACCTTCACGCTATCCCTGGATGCCAGCCCCGTGCGGGGATTCACATACCCTGTTGACCCCCTTTCCCACCCCCCACCCCCTCGGGTCTCCGTTGCTCCACATCATAGTTGTGTCATCCCCCCTCAACCCCCCTTCCCCCGCCCCCCTCCCCCCTTCCAAACCCCCCCCAGGGTTACGCCCAGCTGCTGCGCCACCGCGGTGTGCTGCCGCTGCTGTACCCGCCGCAGGGCCCGGGCGTGCCGCTGCCGCCCGCCCCCCACCAGCTGGACCCGCCCGCGCTGCGGCTGGCTCGGCTGTGCGAGCTGATGATGCTGCAGGGCGAGGGGCTGAGCGGGGAGGGGCTGCTGGCGGCGCTGTGGCTGCTCACGGAGAGCAGGAAGCCGGTGGGGGGAGAGGGGGGAGGGGAGGGAGGGAGGGGAGGGGAGGTGAGGAGCTGCATGGCATGGTAGGGGTTAGGGGTTTAGGAGGGGTTGGGGGCAGATGATGGTGAAGAGGAGGAAGAAGAGGTAAAACACCCGAGCCCCGGGAGGTTAGGAGGAGAGGTCACCCTGCGCAAGAACACCAACAACCAACACAAACCCCCCTGCTCCCCCCCCCCTCCCGCTCCCCCCCCCAGGAGCACGTGGAGGTGGTGCGGCTGCTGTACGGCGAGCTGCCTGCCGTACTGGCCAGGAGGCTGCGGGGGGGCGACAAGGACGGGAAGGTAGGGTGGCAGAGGATGGCAGGCAAGGCGGTGTTGCAGGTGGTGTTCGACATGCCTTCGCTGTGTTACCCCCGGGTGGTGGGGGTGTATTTGACAGGTGTACGTAATGCGGCGCTGCTTTTTTGTTGCCTGTTTGTGTTAAGCGATGTGGCCGCGTGAAAACCCATAGCGAGTACAAGGTGTGATGGCGTGATGATCGCTCCCCTACTGGTACCTTTCAACCCGAAAACCTACCCTTTTCCTCCCCCCCGGCCCCTTCATACTCCCCCCTCTCCCGCCTACAGAAGGAAGCAGCACCCGCAGCCGATTCCAACTCCGGTTCCGCAGCCACGGCAGGATCCCCCGACGCACAGAAGCGGCGGCAACCTGATACGGCCCGCGACCAGAACGGGGAGCAGGGCAGCGAGGGCAAGGAGGCTGGGGGCGAGGGCAAGGAGGAGGAGGAGGGCAAGAAGGAGGAGGGCAAGGAGGACGGGAAGGAGCAGCAGGAGAAGGAGGAGGAGGAGGGTTTTGGAGGCTTCTTTGATTTGGAGGTACGGCAGGACCTGCCGGCTGGCGAGCGTGCTGCGCTGGAGGAGCAGTGGCGGCGGGACATCGTGGAGGCGGTGGAGGTGATGGAGGTGAGGGGGGGGGGAGGGGGGGGAGGGGGGGGAGGGGGGGGAGGGGGGGGAGGGGGGGGAGGGGGGGGAGGGGGGGGAGGGGGGGGAGGGGGGTGGGTGGGGGGGGGATGAGGGGGGTGGGGAGTAAATGAAAGTGAGGGGGGAGGAGGGAGTGCATGGGGCTAGGAGTCGGGCTGAAGGAGGGATGCTTGTCTGTCGGCTGTGAAACTGTGAGGGCTGTGAGGGCTGTGGAACTGTGAGGGCTGTGAGGGCTGTGCTCGTATCTCCCACCCCACCCTTTCCGACTCTCGAACGCTTTCCCTCCCTCCCTCCCTCCCTCCCTCCCGCCTACCCACCCCCCAGGCTGGCAACTGCGGGCTGGGCTGCCGCTTCACCGCCGCCCTAGCCGACCATCTGGCCTCAGCATGCGACGTGGAGTGAGTAGAGGGAACGACACTGCGCGTGGGCAGTGACCCATGGGTCAGTGACCCGTGGGTCATCAACTCATCATGCACTTCAAGGCGACCACACGGCTTCCCTTCACACAGTAGCGTTGTTAGCTGCTTGTTACTTCCCCTCTGTCTCCTCGTTTTGAGCTCTCACATGGTGCACCCCAAAGCCATCTCTTCACCCCGCCCCCTCCCTAACCCCTCTCCCCTCCCTAACCCCCCTCTCCCTCATCTCCTTCCCCTCCCTGCAGTGTCAGTGATGTGGCCTCCGACTTCTCCTCCGCCTCCCTGCCCCGCTGGCTCCCCCGCCTGCCCACCCTGCCCCTCCTGCACCTGCGCCTCTTCGTGCTCACGCAGCTAGGCCTGCGCGCCGCCGCCACCCAGGACTCCCTGGAAGCTCGGCTGGCGTCGGTGGAGTATTCGGTGCAGGAGGACGTGTGGGGTCTGGAGCTGGTGCCGGGCGGGGGAGGCAAGGGGGAGGACCGAGTACGGCTGTCGGCGGTGGCCTACAAGCAGGCATGCATCCGGACCTGGGGCATCCGACAGCGACGGAACCTGCGGCTGCGGGTGGTGCATGCCATGAAGCGAGCGTGGGAGGAGTGGAAGGCGGCGGCGGCGCCAGCCGCCGCTGCCGCAGGCGCAGCTGCCGCCGGCGCCGGAGGCGCCGGCGCCGCAGGCGCCGCGGCAGCGGCAGCTGCTGGGAAGAAAAAGGGCAAGGGTGGTGGTGCTGCTGCTGCTGCGGCTGCGTCTACCACCGCTACATCGTTGGCGCTACCTCCGCTGCCCCCCGGCGTGCCCCCCTGCGAGGTGCCCGCGGACCAGGTTCCCTCCGCGCTGTTCGACTACTACAGCCCGGAGGAGATCGGGTGGGAGGGCTGGTTCCGACATGCCGCGGCGCTGGAGGCCGATGAGGTGCTGTGTTCGCAGCAGACGGCGGAGCTGCTGGCGGAGGTGCTGGACCCGCAGCCGTGCGACCTTCTGCCGGGCACGGAGGCGGGTGGGTGCCGGAGGAGGGGGGAGGGGGCGGGTGGAGGTGGGGGGGCGGGTGGAGGTGGGGGGAGGGGAAAGGAGTAGTGGAGCACTATGGGGGGATGGGGGGGGGTAGCGGTAGCCGGGCGGGGCCGCGCGAGGGGGCGAGGGTGGGCAGCCGGGCAGCAGCACCCAGTGTGTGTTAGCAGAGGGGGGTGTTGCAGCTGCGGTGCGGGCTGCGGTGCTATGGGCACATACATGGAGAGAGAGAGCGGGTACGGCACCTGCCCCCTGTTGCGACCCGCCCGCCCAACTCTCCCCCCCTGCTCCCTTGCTTCCCCCCTCCCACGCCCTTCAGGCGAGGCTGCTCTGGTGGAGGAGGTTGCGGGTCTGGGTATTCTGCCGCTGCTGTACTCGGAGCCTCCCTGCTTCAGCGTGAAGGAGGTGGTGGAGGAGGCGGTGCGGGGGGTGGCGCTGGAGGCGCTGCGGAGGAGGGGGGTGGTGGATGTGGCGGCGGGGGTGCAGGGGCTGCTGGAGGTGAGGGAGGCGGGCGGGGCGGGAGGCGACGGGGTGGGTTGGGCGGGGGAGTATATTTGTAAACGTGAAGCAACTAGGAGAGGGAGGGTGAGGGATGGCAGGGAGAGGGCGCGGGTGGTGTGGGCCGCGGGGGGGGGGCTCGCCAGGTGCAGCACCGGCAGCGGCAGCGGCAGGCGGATACCGCTTGAGAGACACCCACAGGGTGTGAGGCGGTAAGGCCAGTATTAGGAGGCATACCGGTAACCCCCTCCCCCTCCCACCCTTCCTCCCTTCCCCTCCCCTTTGGAATTTCTTTTTTCCCCCTCCCCTCCTCCTCCCCTGCAGGCATGGAGTGGTCTGCTGCGGAGCTTCGAGGAGGAGCAGGAGCGGCCGCAGCTGGTGGAGGCGGTGCGGGGCCGAGTGAGCGACTGGGCCTTCGAGCTGCTGGACAAGGTAGGGGGGGAGGGGGAGGGGGGAGGGGGAGGGGGAGGGGGAGGGGGAGGGGGGCTGACTGATCTGGCAAGGAAACCGACCCCATAGCTTGCATCATATACCCCCTCTATAGCGTACCCTCCTCTCTACGTCCCGCTGCCCTGCTGTCCCCCGCCGCCCCTAACCGCCCTTAACCCCCAACCCCCAACCTCAATGCCCAGGCCTCCAAGACGCGGCCCTCCTCCTCCTCCACCTCAGCCGGCAGCAGCAGCAGCCCCAGCAGCGGTCCCCCCCTGGAGCGGCTGGACCGGCTGCGCAAGCAGCTCACCAGCGAGGCCTTCACCCTCATGTCACGCACGCTGCGGCTGTCGGCGGTGCACTATGCAGCGCGACTCAAGGTAAGGGGGGTCGTGGGGGGAAAGAAATTCCAATGATACAAGTTCTTGGGTGTGGGGTGGGGGGGGCTAAGAGGGGGGGGTATAACTGACCGTGTGATAAGGTAGGGGGGGTAAGGGGGTGAGTGGGTGGGCAAAGAAGAACAATACCAAATGTCTAGAGTGAGAATGGCAAACAAGGGGGATTCAATGGAAAAAAACGAAATAACCGTGTGATAAGGCTTATTCAGGGTTTGGCAGTTGGGGGTTTGGGGGGGAAAAAATTATATAAAAGTGAAACAACAAATTGGGGGGGGGTTAGGGGGTAAACAGCATCTGAGCCGCGTAAAACCCGTGTGTCTGGCAGTCTGACAGTCTGGGTGGGGGATGTATGGCTGTGTGGCACCTCCGTCACCTTTGCCCCTCCCCTCCTTCACCCCTTTCCCTCCCTCCTCCCCCTGCCCTGATTGGGACTCCTTGTTTTTTCTTATTTTTTGCCCCCTCCCCCTTCCCCGCCTCCCCCTTCCCCGCCCCCCCCCCCAGACCTGCGAGGACATCAAAGAGAGGACCCTGCATGCGATAGCGAACTTCAAGGAGAAGAATCAGCCGGCGCCGGCGGAGACCAAGCAGCAGCAGGCGGGCGGCAAGGGCGGAGGCGGAGGGGGCGGCAAGCAGACCAAGACGCGGCAGAGTGACACGGTGACCAAGCAGATGGAGGATATGACTACTGAAAGTAATGTAAGAGCGGGGTGGGGGGCTGGGGGGTAAAGAGGAAACAACTGACTGACCGTGTGATAAGGAGGCATCATCATGGTTTGCAACATGGTCTGGGGGGTGGGGGGCTGGGGGCAGGGCGTGTGAGGGGCCTTGTGGGCGGGGCAGGAGGAGGCGTTAAGACACACAGTAGTCCCCACTTTCCCTCGTTCCTTCGACCCTCTCTTTCTCACTCTCCCTTTGTTGTTGTTGTTGCTGTTGTTGATGTAATGGCCACCACGGCATGTACGAGTTGGGGCATGGGATTGTGATGCATTCCAGTGCTGTCACCTCCTAACGTGTGTGTTTTTGACAATCCCCCCTCTCCCCTCATCTCGCCCCTCTGTTCACACACCCCTCTCCCTCTCGCTCTCCCTCCCTCGCCCCCCTCCCCTTGTAGAACCTGGCTTCCGAGATCCTCTTCCTGAGCAGCACCGTGAAGACCGTGCAGGCCGCAGCAGATGTGAGGGGGAGGGAGAGGAGGAGGGCGGGGTGGGGAAGGGAAGGGGCGGGGAAGGACGCGGAAGGGAAAAGGGGAAGGAGGAGGAGGAAGGGAAAAGGGAAAGGGGAAGGACGGCGTAGAGAAAGGGGAAGGAGGAGGGGGAAGGGGGACATGTGCTGGGCGCAGAGCAGGGAAGCAGGCTGGGAAGTGCGCACAGGGAAGGACACACGCGCGCGCAGCAATACCCGTGACACAGGCATGCAGTTACCACACAGCCCCCAGCTGCGCGCATCCCACCCTTGACATGACGCGCACATCCCACCCTGCCGTACTGCCGTACTGCCGCCACACCAACTCCCCATGTATGTTCCCAGCGATATCCCCTGTGCTTCCCGCCGTTCCTGCTTCCCTTTTCTTCCTCCTCCTCCTCCGTAACCCCCTTCACCCCCTCCCCTCTCCGCCTCACGTGTGCTTCCTCCCCTCTCCTCCCCTCCCCCGCATCCTGCGTGCCTCCACTCCTCTCCACTCCACTTCACCTGCGCAGAAGATGGCGAGGTTGGCTCGCGAGTATCAGGGGTGAGTGACGGGTGGTGTGAGTGACGGGTGGGGTCCGAGTGACGGGCGGGGATTCTGACGGGTCCTGCCCTCACTTGGGGTTTGCTACATGCCTCTGACCTCCCCCCCCTCCCCCCCTCCTCCCCCCGCCTGCAGCCTGAGCGCCCCCAGCGTCTCCCCCTACACCAACCCCGTGATGGGGCTGCACGGCGCGCTGCCGGCGCGCGAGGTGGACGTGTGGAGCAGCAAGGGTCCGCAGGCGGCTGCGGAGGTGGTGGTGGAGGTGCTGCGGTCGGTGCAGGTGGGGAGGGGTGGGGGGAGTAGGAGGAGGGCGTCGAGCTTTGTTACTAGTTCTCCTTTCCAATCCTACCCTACACTCCATCCCCCCCACTTCCTTCGCGCTCTCCTCGCCCCGCCCCCCATCTGCCCTCTCCCTCTCCCCTCCTTCGCACACACCCACACATCCTTCCCACGCCCGCTCCTCCCCTCCTTCCCCCCTCCTCCCTCCTGGAATCCAGCCTAAATGGTGAATCTTCATGCCTATTAATCCTCCCTCCCGCCCCTCCCTTCCCCCCGCTCCCGCAGTTCTACTCCTTCCAGCTGTGCCTGCTGGAGTCGGTGGTGGAGTCGGTGCAGCTGTCCTGCCGCGGGGCGCTGCGCAGCGCGCTGGTGTCGGAGCCGCTGCTGGACATTGGGGCTGCGGGGGTGCTGTGGCCGCGGCAGTGGCTGCAGGAGCAGCTGAGGAGGGTGGTGTCGAATGTGGAAGCGGTGGGTGCGGGCGGGGGAGGGAGGGGGGGATAATGAGACACTGAGCGTGCAACTGACGGTGCGTTGTATGACATGTAGGCTTCACATTGGGGTGCGGGCGGGGGAGGGAGGGGGAGAAGAGCGTTGCCTGTGTCTGTTGTTGGGTGACGGTTTGTGCCGGTGTTTGTGACGGCTGATGGATGGTTTCATGTGCGCTACGATGTTGCTCCCATGGTGGTTGCTGCACCCCCCATGTGCTTCACTCCGCGTTTCTTTTTTCCCACCTAGCACGAGGCACTGCACAAGTCGGGATTCGGGATTTGGAATCCGTTGCTGCACTTGTCAATCATTTCTCCCCACCTCGCATCAATCGGACGCACCCACCCCAACTCCAACACCCACCCCAACACCCACACCCCCCCACCCCGCACAGGAACGTCTGGTGCTGGATGAAGACCTGCAGGCAAAGAAGCGCAACAAGGAGAGGGAGGCCAAGGCCAAGAAGCAGGGCAAGAAGGAGGACGAGAAGAAGAGGGAGGAGGAGCGCAGGCGGAAGGAGGAGGAGGAGCGGAAGGAGGAGGAAGAGCGCGAGGCGAAGGCGCAGCAGGAGGAGCGGGCGCGTCTGGAGAGGGAGCGGGAGGAGAAGGTCGGGGGGGGCAAAGGCGGGGGGTCTTCTGCTGTTGTTGGCAGGCGACGAAGTTGCGTGTCCTTGAGTAGTTCCTTGGTGTGGATACTGGTAGTGTGTCACATGGTAAGATGACGAGAGGACTCGAACGCAGGTGCTACTCAGGTGCAGGCACCTTAGATTGGCCCCCTCGTGCCTAGGGCACTCCTAGCGCCCAGCCTCCACCTCAACCCCCCCACCGCCTGTCGCACCCTGCATGCTGCTGATGCTGTTGCTGATGCTGTTGCTGGTATGCGTCCGCAGGAGAAACCCCCGGCGCCCGCGCCCATGCGATTCGGCGAAACCTTGATAGAAGAAGATGATCAACAGCCGGAAGCGAAAGGCAAGGCAGCTGAGAAGGCAGCAGCAGCAGCGGCGTCGTCAGCGGCGGCGGCCGCCAAGTCGGCGGCGGCGGCGGCTCCGAAGGCCGGCGGCGCTGCTGCAGCCGGCGGAGGCGGCGGAGGCGCTCGGAGGGACGGGCCGTCGTCACTTCAGGCGCGGTTGGCGAGCCGAGACAGGGACAGGGACAGGGAACATCTGCCGCCGCCGGCGTCGCCGGCGGTTGTGGGAAAGAAAGACGCCGCGGCGCCGGCGGGACGTGGTGGGGCGCCGGCGGCGGCGGCACCAGCTGCCGGCGACACCTCCGCCGCCTCCGCTGCTGCACGCAAGGGCAGCGGTGCGCCTCCGCCGCTGCCACAGCAGCAGCAGCAGCAGCAGCAACCACCCAAGCAGGGCGGGCATGGTAAGGAGGGCGCCGCTTCTGCCGCCGCCGCCGGAGGGCACGGCGGCAAGGCAGGCGGCCCGAAGGACGCCTCCGCTGGAGGAGCTCCCAAGGAGGCACCCGGCGGCAAGGGCGCGGCAGGCGGCAAGCCGGCTGACGGGGGCCGCGGAGGCGCCCCGCAATCGCAGCAACAGCAAGGAGGGAAGGCGCAGGGAGGTGGAGGTGGAGGAGGAGGGCGGGGTGGCGGAGGTGCGGCGGCGGGTGGGAGGCAGGGTGGCGGCGGCGGGGCGGCGGCGGCGGCAGCAGCACCTCCGTCGGCCCCGGCGCAGCCCAAGGTAGTGCCCGGTTTCGATCCGGATTCACTACCGGGCGGGGACGTCAAGGGCCGGGGCCGGAAGAACAGGCGCGGCGGCGGCGGTGGTGGCCCGGGAGACGCGGCGGCGGCGGCGGCAGCGGCGGCGGCGAGCGCCGCTGTTGGTCGCGAGGTGCCGCCGCCGCGAGCAGCGGCGGCGGCCAACGGCCGACGTCACGACGGTGGCGGACACCCGTTCCCTACCGCGGCGGGCGCGCCGCCGCCGGCGGCGGCGGCGGCGGCTGAGGAGGAGATGGTCCTTGACCTGACGGAGGGCGAGCCGGCGGCGGTTGGAGGGCCGACGAGTGTGGCGGAGGGGCAAGAGGCCGAGCTCCAGAAGATCTTGGCTGACTACCCGTTCCGGTACCCGTACCCTGCCGGCCTCCCGCCGCCGGCTGGATGGATGGTGTACGAGGGGATCGTGTTCCCGTCGGATGTTGACATCGAGTCCATGTGGCAGGAGGACCTGCAGCAGCAACCCATGGTGACGGATATCGTGGTCTTCCGCAGGTTCTACCTGGTTATCAAAGCCAAGGAGTACATCAACAACCCCGACAACGGTCTGAGCCTCTCGGACGTGCCGCCGGCAGCGCTGAAGGACGCTGACGTCGCCGTCGCTGGCGGCGGCGGCGGCGCCAGGCAACGCCCGTACGGTCTGCCGTATGCCGTGCCCGCCGCCGACGGCGTCGCACAGGAAGTCCCGGAGCCGCCGGCGGCGCCTGACGGCAGTGTTGCGATCGGACCGGCCGACTCCCCCCTCGCAGGCTACAATCCCAACCAGGGGCCCTTCGCTCCGGGGCCGACCCATGGGCCGGTGCTGGGACATGGGCCGCCCGGCCCGGCGGGCTTTCCGTACGGCGGCCCGCTGCCACCGGGCCCCATTGGCCGGCCGCCCTTCCAGATGCCGCCGCCGCCAATGCCGGGCCTGGGCGCCTTCCCGCCAGGCATGCCGCCACCGCCGTTCCGGCCCGGGATGCCATTCGGCATGCCGCCGCCGCCAATGCCGGGCGTGTCGCTCGGCATGCCGCCAGTCGTCGCAGCCGCCGCGCAGCCGCCGCCGCCACTGGCGGCGGCGGCGGCGCCCCATGCCGACGAGGAGGAGGAAGAAGACACGGACGACCTACTCGGTCTGCTGGGGGTGCAGTCGTCGCAGCCTGCAAGGCCCGCAGTGGCAGCGGTGCAAGTGCCGCCACCGCTGTACCCTCCGTACACAATGGTACCGCCAGTAGCGTACGGTGGCTACACGCCACCGGTGCCGTACGGCGCGCCGCCGCCGCCGGCACACGACGAGCCGCCGTCGCCGCCGCCGCTACTTGACGTGTCGGCGGAGGTGGAGGAGCTGCCGCCGCCGCCAGCAGCGGAGCCGTTCGCACCGCCGGCGCCGTCTGCGGCCCCAGCTGCTCCGGCGACCATGTCTTGGGCTCAGCGGGCTGCAGCTGGGAAGGCCAAGCCTGCTGCTCCGCCGTCACGGGCAGGTAGGTGACCCGCCTCGGACGTGTTTCTAACCCTCATCTCCGTCGTACGCTTTACTTGGCTGTCCGGCCGCCATGTACGACATTTCTACGAGACCTTTACTTTGGAAAAGCGCTCGCCGCTGCAAGTGTGAAACACACACGCACAGCCTTTGCACCGCTGTTACCTTGCTGCTAGCTTCCCGCGCCACGCCCTGCCCATGCCTCCATCCCACCCGCCCCATGCCTCCCCCTCTCCCACACCACCGGATTGGGACTCCGTTGATGCATGTATCTACGGTATATATTTTCCCCCCTCCCCCACCCCATCCCGCAGGCGTCCGCCCATCCCACGACGAGGACGAGGACGAGGAGCGTGCCGTACAGGCCGCGCTGCACAACTCCATGCGGGACAACATGAGCGCCGCCTTCCCGCCGCTAGCGGGGCATCCGCCGCCGCCGGCAGCGGCAGCGGCAGGCCGGGGGCCCGCTCCGGCGGAGCTGGGCACGGGCGCCTCCACACCCATGGCGGGCACTGGGCTGGTGAACCGCGTGGGTAAGAGAGTTGGGGGTGGGGGGTGGGAGGGGTGCTTGCGCGGGATTGAGCGGGGGATGGGTGGCACGGGGTGCGAAGCAGGCGGAGGAAGGGCGGAAGGGAAGGGAGCGTGTAGCGGAGGAAGGAGGGGTCAAGCTGGGTTGAGGAGAGGAGTGCCGACCCGGCCTACCGCTACCGTCCTACCGCGCCTGCTACACGCACGAACACACCTCCACTATGCCCCCTCCCTCCCTCCTTCCTCCTCCCCCCCAGGCGAGTACAACTGCTTCCTCAACGTCATCATTCAGTGCCTCTGGCACTGCGCCGCCTTCCGCAAGAAGATGGCGCACCACGCGCCTGAGGCCTTCCAGCCGCAGCACCCCGTGGTGGCGGCGCTGCTGCGGCTGCTGCGCGCGCTGGACTCGGCGGATGTGGCGCGCCGGCAGCAGCAGCTCATGAAGCTGTCGGTGGCGGCGGAGGGGGCGCCGGTGGCGGCGGCGGAACGGTGAGACGTGTTCGGGGGGGAAAACAACACAACCCTGTCAGAAGTCCAATCCGCTTTCTCCCCCACTCACCGCAATCTCTCTCTTCACCTCGCCTCTTACCCGTATCCTTCTCACCGGCAACTGCCTTCCCCCGCCGCACTCCCAACGCTGCGCCTCCCCCCCCCCCGCAGCCAAGTGGTGGACCCCTCCGAGCTGCGAGTGGCGCTAGACGAGCTGGGCGTGCGGGCGGGCGAGATGAACGACGCGTCCGAGGTGCTGGGGGCGCTCTTCGACTGCCTCAACCGCGCCCCGGGACTGGCAGCTGGGGACCCCGGCAGCGGCGCCGCAGCAGCAGCCGGCCGGCAGCAGCAGCAGCAGCCGCTGTCGGTGGTGGACAGCACCTTTGGGCTGCTGGTTTCGGAGGAGGTTCGCTGCACGCGCACGGGTTGCGGGCGCATCACGCACATCGTACCGCAGCACGTGGAGTACTTTGTCATTGTGACCGCCACCGGGTTGCGTGAGATGCCGGCGGCAATTGACATGGGCGGCGGCGGCGGTGGTGACGTCAGCATGGGTCGGATCATCCGGGAGATCGAGCTGCAACACATCAAGCGCTGCGACACGGACCCGCCGCACCACGGCTGCAACACGCCCAACACCGTCACTCGCACGCTGCACAATGTGCCCTCCGTCTTCACGGTTCAACTGGCCTGGGAGCCGGATGTGCCGGCGGAGGCCATCGCCGGCACGCTCGCGCGTGTGGACACGGTTCTGGCGCCGCAGGAGATTTTTGCCAACGGTAACTGCCCGCCCGAGCTGCCGCGCTACGCGCTTCACGGCATGTTCTGCTACTACGGCCAGCACTACTTTGCGTTCATCAACCGCGGGGAGGTGCAGCCGGAGGGCGCGCAGGAGTGGGTGATGTTTGACGACGCGACGGTGGCGGCGGTGGGCAGCTGGTCGCAGGTGATTGCCAAGTGCCGCGCGGGGCGGATCCAGCCGTCGGTGCTGTTTTACCAGGAGTGGAGGTAGAGGGGCGGCGGGCGGATGGGGGCGGAGGGAGGAGAGGGAGGGAGGGAGGGAGTTGCAGGCGTGTGGTGCAGGCGTGCAGTGTGGGAGGAGATGATGTGAGAAGGGAAGGCGGAAGAGAAGAGGCCACTGCACGGGGCGGTTTGATTGGGCGTAGGGAAGACGGAGGAGGAGGCGCTGCTGCTGGTAGCACTGCGCAGTGCTGTGTGATGAGTCGAGGCTGGAGAGAAAGGGGGGGGGGTAAAGAAATAAAATGGGGGGGGGGGGTAGGTAGCAGCAGCAGAAAAGGTTGCGTTGAAGAAATGAAAGCTGGTGTGCATGTCTCCGTGTGTCGCTGTGTGTTCAGTGGGGCAATGCTGTGTGGGCACTGGGTACATGATGGGTGGGCAGTAGTACAATTCGTACGGCATGTCGACGCCTCTAGGTCACAGTCCGGGCCCAGAGCACGCAGCAGGTTGCAGGGGTCGTTCCCGTTATTAGGATATCTGGCCGTGGGCCCCTGGTTTGTTATATCGCAGGGCTGCGTGTTGCGCACATTTGCACCCGGAGTGTGAATTGGGCGTATGCGTCGTCATGTGCGTGGTTGCGTGTTGTCTTTTATACTTAGCGCAGGCAGGTTGGGAAGGGACACAAGAGCGCGCTTTCGTTGCGAGCAGCGGCGCGTGCCGTTAGCAGCAGCAGCAGCAGAGGGGATGCCGCATGGAAGAGCTGGGAAGAGTGCAGTTTAGATGCAGCTTGAAAGCGTGTCTTTTGCTGATTTGTGGAATGCTTGCCGCTGACAAGTATAGATTGAATGCGGCAGGAACGCAGGATTGAACCGCTCCGTAGTGCATTCGGGCGAGGAAAGGCGGTTGCATATGTGGCCGGTGCCTCCGCATTGTTCCCCTCATGGGCGCTAGGAGAGGAGTGGCGGTGGTGGCGGTGTCTTGGCATGCGGATACCTTGGGTTGTCCCGGGCCGAACCCAAGATGAGCTGTAGACAAGTCGAGAGGCACCCGGAAGGCTACTTGCTTCCTGGCTTTGTAACTGGGCATCATTTGTTGGCTGCGGAGAAGCAAGGCGGCAAAAGAGTCCCTCACAGGTGCGCTGACAGCAACGCTCCATGCCCCTATATTCCTCTTCCACGTGTTCTTACATGCAAACATGTGCCCAACGGGTGGACTCCCAGGGCAGCAGTACGGGGTCGACCAAATCGATCGACTCTGATGCAGCGTACATGTCCGCTCTTCTGTCCGGGTTATACTCCTCTGGGCTAAACCGATAAGCGCGACGAGGCCGTCAGGCGTTATAGAGGTTCTCTGTTACAGACAAGGGTGCCACACGGCTCGCGTCATGTCATGTCCTTGATGGGGGCCGTCCGGCAGGCAGTCCACCTCCCCTCCGGTCGCCTCCCAGGACCGCTACTCCGTGCGTGCTACCTTACGCTACCCTAGTCAGCTCGCCACAGGGCCCCTCTGCAAGACAAACCCCCCTCCTCCACTCCCGTCCTAAACACACAGCATCCATACAGCACTACCGGCACCACCCCTTCTTCCCCCCTCCATGACCCCCACACCCATCACCCCCAGACCGAAACCCTCGCCTACCCCTCCAGCTCCCCGCTCTTTTTCCGTTTCCCCTTGCCGCTCTCCTCGCCTCCCGCCTTCCCTCGCCGCCGCTTCTTGCCCTCCCCCTCGTCACCCCCTCCCAACCCGCCTACATCCACCTCGGGTGCTAGATACTGCGACGCGCCGCCGCCCGCCCCCTTGCCACCCCCCGCATCCAATCCCGCTCCGGAACCCCCGCTCTTTCCGGCCTTGCGCTTCAGCGATGCTGCCAGCGCGCGCACGTCGTCTTGTTGGGAGGCGCCGGCGCCGCTGCGGCCGGTCGTGGAGGGGACATCCTCCTGCAGTTGGGGTAGGGTAGGGTGGGGTAAGCGGCGATGTGGAGGGGTGCATGCAGGGGTGTGATTGGGGCAGCGGAGGGGTTAGCGTACAAGGTAGTCTGCGCGCGCACACAGTCACACGCAACCAGTCAAAACACACCCCACTCCCCTCCGGGGCGCAGACTAGGACCACCACTCCCACATCCCACACCACCAGCCCCATAACCCCAAGCACATCACCCACACACATTCCTACTCAGCGGCCATCTTCCTTAACCCACCTCCCCCCCACCCCCCTTCTCCCCCCTAATACCTTGGGTGCCACAAACGCCGCCTCCCGCTGCCGCTGCCGCTCCGCCAGCCGCGCCTCCTGCGCTGCGTCCTTGGCCGCCCGCGCCCGCTCCCGCTTCTGCTCCTCCGACAAGAAGTACTCGCCGCTCTCCAGCGCCAGATCCATCTTGGAGGGCGGCATGGGCGGCGGGAAGGGCGTGTACACCTTCTTCTTGTCGGCTGCGGCGGCCTTGTCGCCTCCTGCGGCGGCGGCTGCTGCCTCGGGCTTCTTGCGCTTGACGTTCTTCTTCTTGAACTTGGGCAGGAACCTGTGAAGGGGGGGGTGAGGAGGAGGTCCGGGTGAGGAGTGCGTGATGCGGGAGTTGTGGGAAGAGGTGGGTTGGTGCGGTGGGGACCCGCGGTGGTCCCATTAGCAAAGGGCGTACCGCATACGGGTGTGCCCAGCTCGCCTCCTCCTTCCCCGCGGCCCCTGCTGTCCCCCTCCCCCCCTCCCCGCCCAGCCCCCCGCCCGCCCCACCTGTCCCAGTTTTCCTCCGCCAGCGCCGGGTCCTTCGCGAGCTCCCTCTTGATCATGAGCGTCTTGATGTGGTAGATGGGGTGCACGTTGCGGATGCAGTCCTCCACCACGCGGCGGAGCACCTTCAGGCCCTTGTAGGGACCCATCGCGGACACAGTGTTGCCTGCGGGGGGGGGGCAGGGGGGGAGGGGGGGAGGGAATGGACGAGCTGTATGACGAGGCTTCAGCATGGGTTGCCAAGTGAACACGGACGGAGGGGCGGAGGGAGAGGAGGGGGCGGGGGGCAGAGGGATAGGAATCAAAGCGGAAGGCGGGGGTAGGGAAAGGGCATGGCACCGTGTACCCTCTTCCTCCTTTTGGGGTTTGGTATATGGTCTTTGACCCCCTTGCTGTCTTCCTCGTCGCCCCTCTCTTGTGGTTTGGTTTTGTCCTTGTTACTCCCTACCCCTTACCCCCGACATGGGATTGGGACTCGTTGTTTCACTTGTATAATTTTTTCACCCCTTACCCCCCTCGCCCCCCGCCCCACCCACCCTGCACCAGCACGTAGCACCCCGTCAGCAGCTCCAGCGCCTTCAGAGTGGAGCCGTTGGGGCCGATCAGCCGCTGACGCCGCTTGACAAACTTCTCCTGTGGTGGGGAAGAGGGGTTGTGGGGGGCAGGGTATGAGGGCGGGGCAAAACAGAGGAGGAAACTGACGAGCTGTACGACAAGGCGGGCAATGAGGGGGAGTGGGGAAGTGGGGAGCTTCTGTGGCTTCCCAAAGCCCCCCTCCACCCACCCAACCCACGATCCCACACCCGTCTCCCGTGGCGTTTCGGTGGGGACGTCACCCCCTCCGACTATCCAGTATCGCTACGTCCCTACTCGCGGCCAGCTTTCCTACCCCACCCACTCCCACCCCCCACCCCAAACAATGGATATTCTTCTTTTACCCCACCCACACCCACCCCACCCGCACCTTGTTGCGAATGATGCCCGATATCTTGATGATGTCGCACTGCATGTCGTCCTGCAGGATCTTGAGCGCCTGCGGGGCGGGCACGCTCCTGGCCAGCAGCTTGATCAGGTCTCGCGCCTTGATGATGGCGTAGGGGTCCCACGTCTTGCGGCTGGTGCGCACCGTCATGGAGCCCTCCACCAGGTTCAGCTCGCAGACGATACACACGTCCTGGACGGGGGTGGGGATTTTATAAGTGAAATAAAGGGTGGGGAGTGGGGGCAGGGGGGGGGTGAATAGGGGTGAAGGTTCCGCATGAAGCGGGGGTGGGGGTGGGGGTGGGGGTCGGGGGCAAACATTAGGAAACCGACGAACTGTATGATGAGGCTGGGGGGTGGGGGGCGGGGCGGGGGGCAGGGGCAAGGAGAAGACCAAAAGTGGGTGGCTTGCGAGGGCACGGTTGCCGTCTGGGTTAGAGGTGAGGTGGGAGGCGGTGGGAGGCTCCCTACCGCATGTGTCAGCCCTCTCCTGCTCCCCACCCCACCCCGCCCAGTGCCCGCACTACTAGACTTCTACCCCACCCCACCCATCCCACCCCTACCTTGAGCGCCTTGGTCACCGCCGGCCACACCTCCCGCAGGTACTTCTCTGCAGCGGCGGGAAGCGGGTGGGAGGGAGGCAGGGAGGCAGCAGCGAGGAAAAGCGGGTGGGCGGCAGGGAGGGCAGCAGTTTTGCAAGCCGTCAACCCCCACTGCAATCCTGACACCAACCAGCAGCGTGGGAGAGGGACCGCACCACGGCCCCGCCGCATCAGGCCCCCACCAGGCATGTAGCAGGGCCACCTGCTGCAAGGCCACCTGCCACCACATGCCACCTGTGCAGCCCCCCTCTCGCTCCACTCCCCCGCACACAGGCCCATGCCAACATAGGGGGCGAGTCGAAAGACCAGCCCGCAGCCCCGCGACTAAGGAGGCCAGCCGTTAACCCCCCTCACCCTCACCCACGCCCCAAATACCCACGCCCCACTACGCCGCACTCGCCTCCGCCCCGGGTGCATGCAAATGTTCCACCGCTGTTGTCATTGTGGCCCCCAGGCGACGCGACGCAACCCCCCAGTCCACTCCTCCCTGCCCCCCTCCCTGTCGCAACCCACCAGTCCACTCCTCCCTGCCCCCCTCCCTGTCGCAACCCACCAGTCCACTCCTCCCTGCCCCCCTCCCTGTCGCAACCCACCAGTCCACTCCTCCCTGCCCCCCTCCCTGTCGCAGCCGCCCACATACCCGCCCTGGCCCCGTTGCAGTGGTCCGTCCGCCCGCCCCTCCCCTTTCCCTTCCGCTCGCTCCGCCCATTCCTCGTGTCCTAAAGCGCCTGGAAACCCCAACCACACTAATCACACCAACCGAGCATGTTTTGCTCCCCTTCCACGCGCCTCTACCACGCTCGTTCCCTTCTCCACGCCCCCTACCCCGCTCTTTCCCTCCCACACGCCCCTCCCCCCCTCCCTCCGCACCTCTGTACTTTGGGAAGAGGGTGGCGAAGGAGCTCTCCTCCAGCAGCCCCCCGGGGTTGTCCTCGGGCTTGAAGGGGTCCACCTTCCAATGGTCGATGCCATCGTGGTCCCACGGCTTGTCGCGCCGGTGCTGCGGGAACGGTGAAGGGAGGGGAGAGGAAATGGGGAAGAAGGGGGGGAAATAAATTCCAATGGAGGCGGATGAGGGAGGAGGAGGTGAGGAGGAGGCGTGGGCATGGGAGTGTAGAGGAAGGGAGTAAGAGGGCGTGAGGAGGGAGGTATGCACGGGCGTGGGATAGGAATGAGGCATGGCATGCCAGCGGGGGCAGCGGAGGCTGGACAAGGGGCGGAGGGAGAGGAGTGCCGCAAGACACAGGGCGCGAATTGGTGGCATGGGCCTGTCTGTGTACGAGGTTCGCTACTGCGGGTATGGCCTCAGCCAAAAAGCGTCAAAGTGGGTTGAATGCGTGGTGGGTATCATGTCTACGTGGTGGGGGCCGGGCCCCCAGTGGCAAAGAGGAGGTCTGTTATGATGTCGCTAGCGGACTGTGTGTGCGGGTTCATGAGCTTCTCGAAGCCGCCATCGCCGCCCGGTCCACGTAATATGTATCCCATCAGGGTTTTGAGAAGCTGTTTGCGTTAAAACCATTGCAGTATTGTAGCAATGACAAGTAGAGTGCGGCCGTGTCCAACGCCGACGGTTTCGCACCTTGCCCTTCTTCTTGCCACCCTCAGCAGCCGCCCCGTCCCCGGTTGCCTGCCGCTCTGGGTCCTCTGTGCTCATCTAGTGTTATTCTTTGCAAAAGGCGTAAGCAAACTACGCGAAAGGCGGATGGAGTGTACTACCGGTAGTGATATTGCGATAAGGCCTACTCCCTACAGTTTCCCTGTTGTTTTTAAAGGAGTGCTCGTTATATTGCTATTAGGCGACGTGGAACCATCCCTCCAAAAGCCGTTAAATCGTTGTCGTACAAGAAAATACTTTCAAGGCTGCCAACGCCTAAAGGATTGTCAGAGAGCCTTGGCAATCACACTAGTGGACTGCGAGGTGGCTCTACAGCCTAGGTTTGCCAACCAGCCTTAGCACAAGGTCACAAAGCAGGTCCCCCTTTCACACACCAAACTCAAAAATGTCGATGCTTGACGACCCCAACTTTGTGGACGAGGATGACATGGATGAGGCCAACCAGGTCTGTGCCTACAGCGTAGGGCGTTGTCGGGCCACCCGGAGCTGCTTTACTACGTTTGTAGCAAAAGCTATCCAGCTTTTGGCCTTCAAATTTAATTTGGTTGCACCGTTTGATCTTGCTCCTTGCAACTTTGCCCGTGGACCGGCCCTGCACAGATTGGGGGAGACGAGGACGACGATGCGGCGACCCAGGATGCTGAGACAGAGGACCTTGACTATGCGCCGGAGCTCGGGGTATGATGGTTTCCCACAGCTGTAGTGGCAGGTCAAGTGCTGCTCCCCACACGTCTGAATGGCGCGCTTCCACTGACCGCAGGACGACGCTGTTATTTCTCCTGCCAAGCGTGATGTGGCGCGTGCTGAGGCTGAGCGTCTTAAAGCCCAATCAAAACAGAAGAGGGAAATGCTGGATCGAATGCGGGAACAGCAAAACGCTCTGGCGACCATGGGCGATGTGAGTTTACGAGGACGAGATAACCTGACCTGCATTAAACGATACATAACAGCGATCTTGTGTGTCCGCAGGCGGACCGGGCGAAGCACCGCATCAACTTCCTGCTGAAGCAGGCGGAGATTTTCCAACACTTCGCGTCGGACGCGGCAATTAAGGAGGCCAAGAAGTACGTCGAATAGCATATTTCTGTTTCTCTTCATGTGCTTTCTTACTTCCTTAGCAACTTAACAAACCATCCCATTGTCCCATAGGGCAAAGGCTAAGGGCCGCGGTGCGCGGAAGGAAGAGGATGAGGACGCAGAGCTGCTGAAGGACGAGGACGATGGCGGCCTGAACGCCGGCCACCGCCTGCAGGTCCAGCCCTCCATCATCACGGGCGGCACGTTGCGCGAGTACCAGATGCAGGGCCTTAACTGGATGATCCATCTCTATGACAACGGCATCAACGGTATCCTGGCCGATGAGATGGTGAGACGGGGGTGGCAAGGGGGAGTTAAGTGCGGGTTGGGGGGGGCTCGTGTAGAGAGGTTGTAGGTTTGGTTGTTTCCAAAAGCAAACTGTCGACTGACCTGCTAACTGACCTGCTGAGAGATTATCAATGTCCGTGAAATATGTACGTGAGGATTAGCGGTCCTTCGACAGGGGGTATGGGGGAAGGCTGGAGGGGACAGGCGAGTTGAGGAGCTTCGTGCTTCCAGGCGTGTTTGCCATGCTCATCCACATCTTTGCGTGAGTGCAACCCAGCGTCCCGTTGCGGCCTAGCCTGGGTTGCCGGGTGTGTCGCATAACCTTGTCACTAGCAGCAGCTGGCGGCTTGAGCACCTCTTGGATGCGCGGAACGTGCGCGCTGAGGAGAACCTTCAGCAGCAGCGGCACAGCTATTGCAGCGGCTTGGCAATGCTGGGTGCCTTACCACGGCCCGGGACTTTGCTGTGGTCCTGGCCCTTCCATTCCAGCCTGGGCTGCGCACTCCAGGTTGATACCGTTAATGCCTCGCCGGCAGCGGCCCTGGGGCACCTCCTCGTGCACGGGTTAAGCGAGCAGCCGCCGCTTTCCCCGCTGACGTTTCTAGCAGGAGGCTGGCAGGAGCGTACCTTGGCTCTCCCGCAAGCCGTGGACCTGCTGCCCGAGCCTCCTGGCCTCTAGGCCTGGCTGGGAACCCGCCCGCTCTGTGCTGTCATTGGAGGTCGGGGGCTCGCAGCTGCACGGATGCAACAGCGCCAGCAGCAGCAGCAGCTGCGCAGAGCAAGCAGCGTGGCGCCTTCTTGCGTGGGGGGCCTGAGTCAGTGGAGCAGCAGTTGTGAAGCTGGAAGGACGTTGAAGTTGAAGGATGGCAGCACAGCAGGGGCTGGAGAGGTTGACGCCACTTTGTTGCAGCATAAGCGACAAGGAAAGCTTAAACCAGAGGAGCAGCAGCCCCACCTCTCCGCCCCTTCGTAACATGCTTCATTCCTACCATAGCACGTTTCCTTGCCCTTTTTTTAGTCTTCTCTCTCCCCTGATCCCTCTCGCCCTTTCCTCCCCTCCTCTCTCCCTTCCTCCTCCTCCCCTGTCAGGGTCTGGGCAAGACGCTGCAGACCATCTCGCTGGTGGCCTACCTGTACGAGTACCGCGGCATCACGGGGCCGCACATCGTCATCACGCCCAAGTCCACGCTGGGCAACTGGGTGAACGAGTTCCGCCGCTTCTGCCCCATCATCCGGGTCACCAAGTTCCACGGAAACAACGAGGAGCGGGTGAGGGGGGGGTGATGAGGAGGTTGCGGGAAAGGAAGGTGGAGATGGAGAGGGCGGCAGTAGGTAGCGGATACTGTTTGCGGCTGTGTGCCCGGCATGGTGCACTTATCGCACGCATTGTTTGGGTGTAGCTCTTCCCCACCCCTACCCCGCCCGAGTTCCTGTTCCCTCTGCCGCACCACCCTCCATTACACGCCTCGGTTGTGTCCTAACCCCGCGCTGCTCTCTGCCCCACTCTCACCCCTCCCACCCACAGATCCTGCAGAAGGAGACGACCTGCGCTCCCGGCAAGTTCGACGTGGTGGTGACGAGCTACGAGATGGTGATCAAGGAGAAGAACCACTTCAAGCGCTTCCACTGGCGCTACATCATCATTGACGAGGCGCACCGCATCAAGAACGAGAACTCGCGGCTCTCGCAGGTGTGGAAGGGGTGCTGCCGTACCGGGTTAGGGCGGTGTTAGTGGTTGTATTACATAGGTAAGTGAGGGCTGGGTCGTGCCTCCGTGAGGGCGACCGCTCATCTTTCCGCCAACAGCAGCCCTCCGTCCCTGGCGCACATCTGACCATTGTTTTCCATGCAACTCTTCCGCTTCCGCTAATCTCTAGTACCCCCCCCCCCGCTCTCCCCCCCAGGTGGTCCGGCAGCTGCGCACCAACTACCGGCTGCTGATCACCGGCACGCCGCTGCAGAACAACCTGCACGAGCTGTGGGCGCTGCTCAACTTCCTGCTGCCCGAGATTTTCAGCTCGGCGGAGAAGTTCGAGGAGTGGTTCAGCCTGGGCGACGGAAGCAAGGAGAAGGAGGCGGAGGTGGTGCAGCAGCTGCACAAGGTAGGGGGGGTGAAAAGAGGACACTAACGAGCTGTAGGGGGTGGGGTGGGGGCCCGGAGGGAAGAGGGTAGAGGTGCGGGCAGGAGGTCCGGGAAGGGTAGTGGTGGTGGTGAGGGCGTATCGGTGGCGTGTTGTTGGGAGTTCCTGGTTGGCAAGGACAAACGTAGAACCTGGTTGACGCTACAGAGGAAGGCGACTGAAATGTGGAGCTACCGTATTCGCTGCACTTAGCCTGCGGGTCATGATGCCGCCTTCATCCTTCCGTCCCGCTTCCCGCACCTCCCTTCCCCTCCCCTCTGCGCAGGTGCTGCGTCCCTTCCTGCTGCGCCGCGTGAAGAGCGACGTGGAGCGCGGCCTGCCACCCAAGAAGGAGACCATCCTCAAGATCGGCATGAGCGAGATGCAGAAGAAGTGGTACGAGAGGGGGGGCGGGGAGGTGTCTGGCGGTGCAGACGTGGCCATGATGAGGAGCACTCGGGCTTTCCGTACTAGCATAGGAAGGTTGCGGTCCAGCTGTACGTCGAAGCCCTTTTGACTGTGCGCTTCTACTGAAGGCCATACTGAAGGCCGATGAAAGCCATCTTGCCACTAACCATTAACGCCAGACCCCTGCACTGCACCATCCTCTTTCCCCATCTGCCTGCTTCACCCACGACCCTTTCCCTCATCTTCTCTTCCTCCCTCCTCCTCCTCCTCCCCTCCCCTCCCCTCTCGCCTGCAGGTACGCCGCTCTGCTGCAGAAGGACGTTGACGCGCTCAACGGCGGGGCGGACCGCGCCAAGCTGCTCAACGTGGTGATGCAGCTGCGCAAGTGCTGCAACCACCCCTACCTCTTCCAGGGCGCGGAGCCGGGACCGCCCTTCATCACCGGTGAGTGGATGGGGACTGGGGGCGTGCTGGGGGTGCATTTGCTCACATGTGCACATGCCAGTGTGAACCCTCTGTCCACCCACCTCTATACCCCTCTCATCCCCCGTCCTCCGGAGCTTGCAGGGTTTCCTTCTTATCAGCATTTAGTTTCCTTCTTTCAACCTCCCCTCTTCTTTTCCACCCCCCCTCAGGCGAGCACCTGGTGGAGAACAGCGGCAAGCTGGTGCTGCTGGACAAGCTGCTGCCGCGGCTCAAGGAGCGCGAGTCGCGGGTGCTCATCTTCAGCCAGATGACCCGCATGATCGACATCCTGGAGGACTACTGCCTCTACCGCGGCTACGGCTACTGCCGCATCGACGGCAACACCGGCGGCGACGACCGAGACAACATGATTGACGAGTTCAACCGCCCCGGCAGCTCCAAGTTCATTTTCCTGCTGTCCACCCGCGCCGGAGGTCTGGGAATCAACCTGGCCACCGCCGACATTGTGGTGCTGTACGACAGGTGGGGTGGGTGGGTGCCGTGTGTACGGTTTGTTTACCGGTACCTGTGTCCGCGAAGTTATGCAATTTTGAAATGGCCTATTGAAATGGGTTTAATTGTGGGCAGGCTTCTTGCGATGTGAATGGCGCTGATGACTGAACCACAGTACCATCAAATTCTGAGGCACGCAGTGCCCTGATGACCGCTTTCAGCCTTGTCTGAGCCATCATACACATCCTGACAGCTCTTAGCTTAGTACCCAATCGCTGTGTTGTTATCGTAGACCTCCCGTTATGCCTCAACCCTTCTCGTTATCCTGTATTCCATGTGCCGCCTCCCCTGTCTCTCCTTAAGCCCCCTCTCCTCATGTGCCCCCCTCCTCACCCTCCTCACCCCACCCCCCCAACCCCCCCCCCCCCCCCCCCCCACTCCCCTGCTCCCGCCCTGCACAGCGACTGGAACCCGCAGATGGACCTGCAGGCCATGGACCGCGCGCACCGCATCGGCCAGAAGAAGGAGGTGCAGGTCTTCCGCTTCTGCATCGAGAACTCCATCGAAGAGAAGGTGTGGGGGAGGGTGCAAAGGGGCTGAGAGGGATCCGTGAGAGCACTCACCTCTTTCTTCCGTACTGCTCCCTCTCCCCCCCGCCCTTTACCACTCCTGTGCCCCCTTCTGACTCCTTATTTTCACCCCTCTCTCTTCCCTTTTTCACCCTCCCCAGGTGATTGAGAAGGCCTACAAGAAGCTGCGTCTGGACGCGCTGGTGATCCAGCAGGGTCGCCTCACGGAGAACAACGCCACCAAGGTCAACAAGGACGACCTGATCAACATGGTGCGCTACGGCGCGGAGCTGGTCTTCAGCAGCGACTCGGCGAACATCACGGACGCAGGTGGGAGGCGGGGGGAGGGGGAGATGCGGCTGTAGGAGGCGAGATGAGGAGGTGGTGGAGGAAGTGCACCTCTGGGCTGCCGCACCATCCTTTGCGGTCACAACACCCCTCCCCCCTCAACACAACACAAGACACATACTCCAGTTTTCTCAACGCGCGCACTTCCCGCCCCGTCACCCCCCCCCCCCCCCCCCCACCCTTACCCTGCCCACACAGACATTGACGCCATCATCAAGAAGGGTGAGCGCGACACGGCGGACCTGAACCAGAAGATGCAGCAGTTCACGGAGAACGCCATGAAGTTCACGATGGACGGCGGCATGGCGTACGACTTCAAGGACGAGGAGGAGGGCGGCACCGACATTGGCGACCTCAAGGCAATCATGGGTGAGTGGGGAAGGAGAGGGGTTGGGGAAGAAGAGGCTGAGGTACTATGGATGGTCATGGGAAACGCGCGGCTGATACTAGGGACAGTGTACTACAAGATGACTGATAGCGCGTTATGCTTTTTAGCATGAGCCTGATGCATACAATACCATTCATTCCCTCACTCCTTCCCTCCACCTCCTCCACCACCTCCACCCCCTCCAGGCTCCAACTGGGTGGACCCGCCCAAGCGCGAGCGCAAGCGCCACCTGCTCAACTACAACGACGCGGAGTACTACAAGAACGCGCTCAAGGCGGGCGGCGGCAAGGACCCGCGCGCGCAGCGGGTGCCCAAGATGCCCGTGCTGCAGGACTTCCAGTTCTACAACGTGGGTGTGCGGGGCTGTGATGGTTGAGGCAGACTGACCCAAGAGATGGGTTGTTTGGGTTCTTCCTGACGTCCTGGCTTGCGTGCCTCCCCACGTCACCCCCTCCACCCACCCCCTCTTCCCCCACGCGCGCAGGTTCCCCGCATCCAGGAGCTGTACGAGAAGGAGCACATGTACGAGACGTACAAGCACGCGCAGTCGCAGAAGGAGGCCACCCTCAAGAACCAGGTGCGGGAGAACAAACAAACGCCCTGTACTGCCTGCCCCTAACCTCCTCCTCCGCTGTTGGCTGCTCCTTGCCTTGCTTCACTTGTTGTCTGCTCCCCTCTTGCTCCTTCCCTTTCCGTCTACCTTGCCCTCACTTGCGGTTTGGTTCTTCCCTCTTCCTCCCCCATGCTGCCTGTAATGCAGTCCTAGAATCCATCAAAAATGCGGAATATGTATCCTAAAGGCAGCTGTTAAAGGTATCCCTCCTTCCCCCCTCTATGCTGCCACGCAGGGCGCCAGCGAGGAGGCGATTGCGGAGGCACTGGCGGCCCAGACCGACGACCCGCAGCCGCTGTCGGAGGAGGAGACCGCTGAGCGCGAGCAGCTGCTGGAGGAGGGCTTCAAGGAGTGGACCAAGCGCGACTTCAATGCCTTTGTGCGCGCATGCGAGAAGTACGGGCGCGAGAACATCCCGCAGATCGCGGCGGAGGTGGACGGCAAGACGGAGGACGACGTGCGCGCGTACGCCAAGGTGAGTAGGGGGAGCGGCGGGGCGGGGTGGGCTGGAGGTGGCGACTCGCCATGGACTGTATGGACATAGCATAGACATACATGTGGTCACGTCTTGCTGCCCGGATGTGCGATAAGTGGTTGGGTACTTGTACCGTGAAGATGCCACTATTCCTCATTTGGCTGTTAGTGCTTCCGCAATCACGCCCATGTCTTCAACGTCGTGTGTACCCCTACATGACGTCTTGCCTGCTGCCTGGCTCACCCCCTCCCCCTCCTTACCACGCACAGGTGTTCTGGAAGCGCTACCGCGAGCTGAGCGACTGGGAGAAGGTCATCAAGAACATTGAGCGTGGCGAGCAGAAGATCCAGCGCCAGCAGGACATCATGAACGCGGTGGCCGCCAAGCTGGAGCGCTACAAGAACCCCTGGCAGGACCTCAAGGTCAGCCGGAAAAAAGGGAATACCATGCGTGAGGAGGATGAAGAGGACTTGAGGTCACATGTCGTTCCGAGAAAAGCATACTATGATGGGAGTTGTCTGCCCGGTTTGGTGGGAGGGTGCTGCTGTTACATGGGCGCTTAGTGACCTGGTCCACGCATTTAGACGACGGTACATGCATTGGGGATACCGTCATTGCAACTCTCCTATAAACTGAAATGACCCACTGACGCGGTGTGTGTCTGCCCCACCCACAGATCCAGTACGGCGCCAACAAGGGCAAGGCCTACACGGAGGAGGAGGACCGCTTCATCCTCTGCATGGTGCACAAGCTCGGGTACGGCAACTGGGACGACCTGAAGGCCGAGATCCGCAAGAGCTGGCGCTTCCGCTTCGACTGGTTCTTCAAGAGCCGCACGCCGCAGGAGCTGGGCCGCAGGTGCGAGACGCTGATCCGCCTGATTGAGAAGGAGAACGAGGACCTGAAGGAGGAGGCGGACAAGGGCACCCGGGGGCGGGGAGCGGGAGGGGGCGGACGGGGAGGCGGCCGCGGGGCGCGCGGAGCCGGGGCGGCGGGTGGCGAGGGGACGGGGCGCAAGCGCAAGGGCGCCGCGGGGGCGTCGGCGGCTGCCACTCCGGCCATGGCGGGCACCCCGCAGCCCGGGAGCGAGGAGGGGTCGCCGCAGCCGCCGGACCGCAAGAAGGGCCGCGTATGAGAGAGTACGCGAGGTAGTGGGGGCGGGTGTGTGGTTGGGGTCTATGGCGGTCTGCGTGTAGCTGATGCGTTTCTGGAGGAGGCGGTATAGGGGTCACCTTGGTTTGGCAAGGAGCGGCATGCGGAGTTGTTGACTACGTGGGTGCCCTAGGAACCGCCTTTCCTGGCTTTGGTGGCTTTGGGCTTGACATGCAGCCGGTAGGCAAGGGGTGGGGACCCTGTTTCTGACATGTGACATTCTGTTTTAGTTACTAGACACCGTTTACTCGACAAACGTCTTTTGGGTTTGTATTGCTAGGACACCTTTCAAACGCAACCGTTGGGACACAGTGACGCAAATCGATTACTGAGGGTTGTGGTACATACGCACTTCTGTTGTAGCCTCTGTGAGGGCAAAAGTGGTTTAGCGGGTAGACATTTAGTTTGCAACTGCGGCCTTTGTCGCCCTTTAATGCGAGACGCTACTTAGGTTCGGTAGATTAGTAGCCGATATGTGTTGGTGGAGTGCCTTGGCTTGACAGCTCCATTGCTGCTGTAGGCTTGGGTGTTTGGAGGCTGTTGGATGGAATGAGTTACGCGAACTGTGCATATATCAAGATTCGTGCGAGATACGCTGCACCGGCGGTAAGAGATGCAGGCAGCGCGTGTATTGTGACGAGGGAAGGGAACGAGGTGGAGTGTGCGTGCTGCTTCAAGAGTCCCCATGCAGATGCCAAGTGCGTAATGTCACAGAAGCCGTTGCCGTGTGCACGACATGTAAAATCCGGGTAAGGATGGTGACACATCTACGGTGCATTACATCCTGTATGCAGAACACGCACCTGAATGCTTTTAAAGAGTCTTGAACACCTGCCACAATCGTCCACAGTACCGCTAGAGCAAGCACAGCGAACTACCCGTATTGCCCAAAATTTAATTGACAAAAATAAAATGTTTTGGGTTTTGTCAAATGGGGCAAAAATGTTTTTTTGCCATGTCAAATGGGGCTGGAAATTCGCTGGCAAGGTGTCAAATGGGGGCAAATTATTCCGCCTGGGTAACTAAGGGTAACTAAGATGGGAACGGAGAGGTAGGGGGCAACTGACTTGCCAGTGCGCTGGATCCTCACCGCGCCATGCCCAGTCGGGGTTTCCAAATGGTGTTCCACGTATCCTCCTAGGGCTGCACAGCGGCATACCGGTACAGCTGAACAGCTCCTTTCCTTACCATGTTACATCCAACACGTACGGCGGCTTTTGGGGCGTTTTGGCGCATGTCAAATGGGGCTAGAAATTCGCCATCAGGAAGTCAAATGGGGCATAAATTATTCCCGCTTTATCAAATGGGGCTGGAAAATAGGCCTCCAAACGCATGTTATTAAATTTTGGGCAATACGGTACCACAGCGTTCCGAGCTGACCGGTAAAGCACTACAGCTCTTAGGCACGACAAACCGTCAGAGCACGCATCTACTCAGCCTAGCAATGTACTAACCCTAGAGCCTCGTCAAGTCCTACAGGGGCTGCAGCCTGAGCGAACTCCCCGCATCCTAAAGTGGTAAGCCTAACCTCGGCCGCACCCCGGGGCGGATCTCTTAACCCTACGCGATGCGGACCTAACCCCCAACCTGCCATACCCTACCCAAGGCCGCTCCCCCGCGACGCGAGCCAACATCCCACGCAACACCCCTAAGGCCGCCCGTCTGCCGCTTGCGGCCTCAGCGACCGCGGCAACCCCGCCAGCAGCGCAGTCGTCAGCTTCTGCGGAGCCGCCGCCTCCGCCGCCGCCTCCACCACCTCAGCTGCCGGCGCCGGCAGCGGCGCCAGGCGCCTCACCAGCTCCCCGGCGCTCTGAACCGCCTGCAGTACCGCCTCCATGGCGGCCCCCACGGCGGCTGCGTTGGCCTCCGCCGCCTCCGCCTCCGCTTCAGCGGCCCTGATCACTGCCAGCTGGACGTCAGGGGCGGCAGCGGCAGCAGCACCACCCGCACCCGGCTCCTCGTCCACATCCATGGCATCAGCCGCCGCAAAGCCCCCCGCCCGCCTGCCATGCGGCTGACTTGGCCCCGCGCCTCCAGCACCCCCCGCCGCTGCGCCGTCCAGCTGCCCACCCTGCTGCTGTCGCCGCTGCCATCGCCGCCGCCTGCGTGCCGCATACTCCGCCCACACCGCCGCCTCCCCCAGCAACCCCTCCTGCAGCAAATGCATCTCGTACAGCACGTGTTGGCTGTAGTAGTTGTGCGGACCCAGCATCAGCGCTGCCACCCGTGCACGGTGCTGCAGCAGCCGCAGCAGCGGCAGCTCCGGCGTGACCAACCGGCCGGCAGGGAAGAGCCGGGCAACAGGCGGCGAAGCCTCCTCCTCCACGCGCTGCTGCTCCTGCTGAAGCCGCTTTTGCCGGCGTTCTTTCCGCCGCTGCCGCCGCTGCTGCTGCCTCAGCTTCCGCTCTTCCAACCCGTCACCGCTCCTCGGCCGCCCCTGCCGCCGCTCCTGGAGGTGTTGCCTCAGGCGCTGACTCCGCACGCGCTGCTTCTTCAGTAGCTTGCGCAGCGCTGTAGAAACAATACCCGGAGCACCGGCACCCGCAGCAGCTCCCGAACCAGGCCGGGCCGGCTGCTGCTGCCCCTGCTGCCCGGCGGCTTGCCCCAGCTGTGCAAACAACAGTTGCTGAAGCTCGGCAGCGGCGGAGGCAGCTGCTGCGCCCTGGCCCGCACCGCCTGCTCCGCGTGAAGGGCCGTCCTGCCCCTCCTCACTCCCATCCTCCTCCTCCCGAGCTTGCTGCGGCTGCTGCGGCTGCGGACCGCGCATGCGTTTGAGCTTCGCCGCGGCACCTACCAGCCGCTGCACCGCCGCAGCCGCCTGCTCCTGTTGCCCGTACTTCCCCTGCTGCGGCTGCTCTTCCGCCTGCTGCTGCGTTCTTGACCGCTTCCGCGACCCTTCCGCCTGCACCCCCTGCCCGGGCTCCACGCTGACCCCATCTCCACCTCCTCCCAGCTGAGCCGGCTGCTGCTGCTGCTGCAGGGGCGGCCTCTGCAGCACCAGGCACAGCTGCGGCGGCTGTGAGAAGGCGGTAGCGGGCCACCAGTGCACTCGGTCCTGAAGCCAGGGCTGCACCTGCTGCCGCCACAGAGCCACCTCGGGAGGGTCTGGGAAACCTGCCCTATGCCGCCGCCGCCGCCGCTTCTTCTTCTTCCTCGAACGCCCGCTGGTCGCGGCTTCCGACTCGGATGCCTCTGATGCCGCGGCGGCAGCAGCTGCAGCAATCTCCTCCTCGGCTGCAAGGGTTACAAAGATTGCATGGAAGAGCGTTAGGTTGATTCTAGAGAATCTACAAGATCATCCCCAGTCCGCATGAGCGGCTGCGGAGGGAGGGGGGGCTTCCAGCTGCTACCCGCTCCTAACGCCACCCGGCCAGTTAACAGTACAATCCTATAGCTTCCCAACTTCTCAACTGCAAACAAACGTGACGACATACGCGGAATGCAGTAAAGTATTCTTAGTAACGCAAAACCAGCAGCACACCAGCACGGCAACACACCTCCCGCGCGGTGTCACGCCCTCACATCCCTTTTCCCGTACGCATATGCCGTACCTCGGGGCGCCGCCACCGCCGCCGCCGCCAGCCTCCCCAGCGCCGAGTCGAGCAGGCCCCACACCTCCGCCTCGTACGGCGAGGTGAGCGCCCCTGTCGTACACACGTCCAGGTGCAGCAGGCAGCCGCGCAGCAGCGCCGCGGCGCAGGAGGCGCAGTGGTGGGAGCTGCGGTCCAGTCCTGCGGTGCGGGGCAGGGCGGGGCGAGGTGGGGGGCAGGTAAGCACACTTTGCTTGTCCTCGTATGGCCGTCTCGCCGTCAGACTGCTTTATCTTTAATAGTAGATTTTTTATTAATTAAATTTGATAGCAGACTGCAAACTGCAAATAATCGCACCAGGGTTGTTAGGCTGCATGCAACCGGCGGAAGCAGCCCGCGTGAATGCAGCCCTCACGCAGGCACCGTTGCAGACACCCCGCGAGCATGCAACAGGAGGCGGCAACGTACCTCTCATCGCCAACCCCCTCGCCTCACCTGCTCTGTAGCACCCGGCTGCCCCTCATCCTATCTCCCTTGCTTTGCGCCAGCCTGCTTGGTATGGTCGGTACCTCCCCCCCCGCCCACCCCCCTCACCTGCCTTCTTCTTCCCCTCCCCCCCCTCACCTGCCTTCTTCTTCCCCGCCAACCCCCGCTCACCTGCCAGCGCCGGCGCACACAGCGGGTCCGACTGCAGCGCCGCCAGCTGCCACTCCACCAGCGCATGCGCGCGACCCTCCGCCGTCCCCGCCACCATCACACCCCTTCCTCCCCCTCCTGCGTCTCCTGCACCCGCCCTGTCCCCCGCTGCCGCTGTTGCTGCCCCTGCTGCCGCTGCTGCCGCTATTGACCCCCGGTACCTCCGATACAGCTGTGGGTTGCGCATGTCCATCGGCTGGGGCGGCGGCGATTCGCGCGGCGGCGGCGGCGACCGCCGCCCTCCGTTGCCGCCCTCCTCCTCATCATCATCATCATCCTCGCTCTCACCACCCACCACCACAACCTCCTCCGGCTGGCGCCTGGGTTCAGGAGAGGCTGTCCGGGTGCGGCCTGCGACGCCACCACCGCCCTCCTCCTTCCTGCCCAACCCAGCAGCGGCAGGAGCCGCGGAGCCGCCCGCCCCTGCCGCAGCTGCACCCCTGGGTGCTGCTGCTGCTGCTGCTGCCGTAGCCGTCGCTGCGAAGAGCGCCGCCCGCAGGCCGCCGCCCCGGCGCTTCGAACCAGCTGGGGGTGGCCCCGCCGCTGCCCCTGCTGCTGCTCTCGCTGCTGGTGTGGCTGCAGCAGTGGCGCCCCGGTGGTTCTCCTCCTCCTCCTCCTCCTGCGGTGCTGCCGCGGCAGGGGCAGCGGAGCCCTGCTGCTCGCGGCCCTGCTTGCGCCGCCTGCCCGCCTCCCCCGCACCGCCGCCGCCGGCCACCTCACCTGCACCCGCCGCCGTGGCTGGGGCTGCTGCTGCTCGAGTGGCCGCCGCTGGTGCAGCAGTAGCGGCTGCTGCTGCTGCCGCCCGAGTGGCTGCTGCTGCTGGTGCCGCAGCAGTGGCGGCGGCAGCTGCCCTCGACTCCGGTTCACCACGACTTCCCCGACCCGCATGCCCTGCTCCTTCATCCTCCTCCTCCTCCCCTTCCGACTCACTCCCTCCCTCACGCCCTCGTCGCTCCTCCACCTGCTCCTCCTCCTCTTCCCCCCGCCGCCCCGGCCGCCCCTCCTTCTCCTCCTCCTCGTCCTCCTCCCTGCCATTCCCCTCACTCCCCGCCCCCTCCAACCCCTCCTCCTCCAACTCCTCCTCCTCCCCCAGCTTCAGCCCCAGCATGGCGGGTCCCGACCCGTCCGGCAGCCGTGCCGCCACCTCAAACCGCCGTACGAAATCCCCGCACTGCTGCCGGAACTGCCGTACAATCACGGCAAGCGCCAACGCATCCGTGTCGCCTGGCGCGCTCCTGGCTGCTGCTGCGGCGGTGGAGGCGGCGGTGTCAATGTGCCCCGCTGCGCAGTAGGCCTGGGTGAGGTGGTAGGTGACGCGGGTGGTGTCGCGGGAGGTGTCGCGCAGGACCAGCTGGGGGTTGGGGGGCGGGGTGGGGGGGAGGGGGGAGAGAGGGGAGAGAGGGGAGAGAGGGGTAAGGATAAGGAAGAGAGGGGTAAGGATAAGGAAGAGAGGGGTAAGGATAAGGAAGAGAGGGGTAAGGATAAGGAAGAGAGGGGTAAGAATAAGGAAGAGAGGGGTAAGAATAAGGAAGAGAGGGGTAAGGATAAGGAAGAGAGGGGTAAGAATAAGGAAACACTGACGAGGCAACTAATGAGCTGTGTGACATGTAGGCTTCACCATGGGGTGCAAACACGAACATGAAGGGAAGGGGGGGTATATACGTATATTATATGGAAATGAGGCAACGGGGAGGGGGGAAAGAGGGCGGGCGGGAGGGGAGGCAAATGGGAAGTGTATCCGCTCCATGTTCCGAAGCTCCCCATGCAGCGAGGGAGGGGTCTGCCGCAGGGTTGGAGGAAAGGTGCTGGGGCTGGGGCTGGCCGCCAACTCATCTGGGCGAGGCGCGACCCAACGACCCACCCCCTCCCCGCCCCCACCGACCCCGCCCCCACCCGCACTATTCATTTTCCCCCCACCCCCCTTTTACCCACCCTCCACTGCCGCTCGCTGCTGCGCCACGTCTCCCGGAAGTGCGCGTCCGACCAGCACCGCGACCACACCTCCCGCACGTACTCAAACGGGCGGCAGGGCGGGACCGCGCCCCCCTCCTCCTCCTGCTGCCCCTCCTCCCTCTCCTCCTGGCCACCACCACCGCCTCCTCCTCCGCCTCCGCTGCCCCTCCCCGGCAGCAGCTCCGAGCGGCCGCGCTTGAGCCCGCCTCCGTAGTCGGGTTGCATCAGTAGGCTGCTGCGGGTGCCGGTGCGGGTGCTGCCGGGGGGGCCGGAGCGGCCGCGAGCCCGGTCAGCCAGGCTGCGGATGTAGGTCTGCATCCTGCACACCACACGAGGGGGGGGACAAGCATTGACGAGGCGGGTGGGGGATTAGGTAAACTGAGCCGCGGAAACACTGAGGGGGGTGGGGGTTGGGAGGGGAGCCCCCTCCGCCGCCACCATCGCAGCCCATTGCTTTGCCCTAGCATGCGGTTTCCCCACGGTTTGCTCCATTTTTGCTCCCTCCCCCCCAACCCCCCCCAGCAGCCCTCCCACCCACTGGGTACTCATCCACCGCCCCCCCACCCCCTCACCCCCCGCCCCTTCCCGCCCCCCACCCACCATTCCCGGTAGCTGAGCAGCCCCAGTAGCGCCGCCGGTGTGGTGAGGTCCAGGTGCCACTTCTGCTTGGAGACCTTGGACTCGAGCATCGCACGGGCGGCGGTCATGTTGCCCTGGAGGACGGGGGGGGGAGAGGGGGGAAGGGGGGAAATGGGGGGGAAGTGTGTGTGTGTCTGTTTTGGGGTTCCCTTTGCTTACCCCTGCCCATCCATGGGGGTGGGCGACCATGTTGCAACACATGGTAACGGCCTGTCTCACAAGACTCAATGGCTCTCTTACCCCTTCCCTCCCCTGCAGGTTTACGCTACCGGTATACGCACTGTGCCTACTCTCCCCCCTCTGTGCTTCACTTTCCTCCACTTTCCCACCCTCCTGCTTCAGTCACCAGTTCGGCTCGACTCACGGATTCTCCATCAGGGCTTGTTACACCGCCATCACACTACACATTGGACATTCTACTTCCCCCATCACCGCACCTCCCCCCCCTCCGCTTCCCACCACCCCCATCACCGCCCCTCCCCCCCTCCCCCTCCCACCACATTGGAATTTCTTTTTCCCCCTCCCCCCCCCCCTTCCCCCCCTCACCGCCTCCATCAGCTGCAGCGCCACCTCCCTGCTCGCCCGGTCCGCCAGCCGCTTGAGGGGCTGCTGCAGCGCCAGGTACTGCAGCGACCGGAACATCTGGGGGGGGGGAAACAGGCGGGGGGGGGGGAGTGTGTTAAGAAAACTGGCCGCGAACGTAGGAACGTACTATGGTTGACGGAAGAGGAAAGTCCCCATAGAACCGCCACAGGAGCCGGGTGTGGCCCCGCCCCCGCCCCCCTCACCGTGTTGGACCGCCCCGCTCCCGCCCGCTGCAGCAGCTCCGCCGCCACCTGCATCATGCGCGACATCAGCCGGTACATCATCTGCATGTGGTAGCCCTCGGGGAAGCGGTCGGGCTGCAACCACGTTTTCGTGTCACGCAGGCGGTAGGTGTTCTGAGGGAGGACGGGAGGGGAGGGGGCAGGGGCAGGGAGGGAGGGGGGCAGGGAACAGGGAGGTGGGCGAGGAGGAGGGGGGGGCAACACAATGCCGTACAGCCCCAGGAAGGGCAGCTCCGGGGTTCAGGTGGGCCCTGTGCTCCACAGCCTCCACACGGCATACACACACGACACAACCCCATCCCCGCCCCCCGACCCTCCCCCCTGTCTTGTGACACGCTGCCGCCTCATTCCCCCGTTGTTATGCCCTGCCCTAATTCGTAGTTTCCTGCGCTTTGGGCCCATGAATATAGCCTCATTTCTGGCTTCATTAGTTAATGCCCCCCCCTTATGGTTCCTATGGTTTGGTAGGGTCTTTGCCCCCCCCGTTGCAAACCATGATGATGCCTTATCACATGATGCCTTAGATGTTTCCTCTTTACCCCCCACCATGGTCTTCCACAGCAGGTTGCACACGGTGGCTGCCGTACAGAAGTCCCTCCGCAGCAGCGCCCAGATCATCAGCTCCTGCAGCGTGATCAGGTGGTGCGCGGAGAGCTGTGTACGACAGGGGGGGAGAGAGGGGAGGGAGGGGAGACGGGAGGGAGGGGGAAGGGAGGCGGGAGGGGGAAGGGAGGGGGAAGGGAGGGGGAAGGGGGGGCGCAAGGGGTCAGGGCGTCTGGGTTTCAAGGATTAAGAGCAAGCAGGATTGGAACTACTTGCAGCGCGTGTGTATTGTGTCAGGAAGGTAGGGTAGGGTATCCTTTTAGAATGCCTTGCAAAAGTGTTGCGTGTGCATACGTGATGAGACTAGGATCACAGACGAAGTACCCTTCCTAGATGCGCTGCGCTACTGGTAGCTATCGTAACGACGCATCTCACACCCTTGTCATCCACGCGGAGGCGCCCATCCAAACCTAACCGGCTCACCCTTTCAAGGCATACAGAGATATCTTGAGGTATTGTACATCGGCCTATAAATAGCCTCTTTTTAGGCCGCGGGATCCCTGCGGCTTTCCAAGCGTCCAGATGCTGAAGGGCGCCCACTTTAGCGCGCTTGGGGGCGCCATCGAGTTTTCCATCGGCTGGGCGTTGATCGCCCAATCCGTCTTGCTGCTCTGTTCCGTCCATTATATGCTAACTAAGAAGCTATGTTACTACGCAGTGAAGCAGGCTGCTGTGGAAACGTAATCGTCTGAATTCACCTCGTAATCAATCTAATGCTTTCCACCATCGCGTTACATGTGGCTATACGGCGCAATAACCATGACCAGGCCTCGTGAACAAAGGCAGCTCGAGGCTACTGGTAGTTGCATCACATCTGTAAGACAGTAATGATTACCGGTATCGTCTAAGCATCTTGGGCTGGCAGTATTGGCATCAAACGTCCCCGTAGCTCGATTCCGAGAAAACGTATACGTAGTCCCCGTAGCTCGATTCCGAGAAAACGTATACGTAGTATGCGGTTTCGGAGGAGCGAAGCGAAGGGATGCATACCCGGTTCCTGTCCGCCCCCACGGGATCCTTTCATCGCTCTTTTTCACGGCTCGGCCTTCACTTTGAACCGTCCAGCGTGGCGCGCTTTTGCTGTCACGCTCTTTGATTCGTGATCTTACCCGATTTTCAACGGCCGGCCAACTTTCCGTGCGTCGCTCGTGTCGTTGAAAGGAGCCGTCTGCTTGTGAGTTTGTCCGAGTTTGTAAAGTTTACGACTATATTGCGTAGCGTGGCTTCACCGCGCTTCGATTTCGCGAGGAAAACCACGCCGCTTCATAAAACACATACGAAGATGTTTTAGGCGTATAAACGTATATCAAAGCACGTAAAACTAATTCATAACGGTGCACAAGCCACGCCACGTGCGGCGAGGATAACAAAAGCCCTTAATTGCCTGGAAAGTAGTCCTAGCAGAGCCTCTGGCTTGCTGCTGCTGTCTTTTGTTTCGCTGTTCGGTCGAGGGTTACCGCTTTTCGAGCCGGACACCATGGAAAAGGATGACCAAGGTGTGTGTGGCGAGCGCATTACTTCCGATGATTCTGGCGCTGTACCAGCCTTCCCTTGGGCGTGTCGCAGGCGAAGGTGACCCGCTCGACAGCGTGCTCTACTGCAGCGGCTTGCACAGGCTCAGTGTGTGGCCGTGGGGAATGGAGGATGGAAGGGAGAGGGGAGAAAAGATAGAAAAGGAGGAGAGGGGGAAAATTATATAAGTGAAACAACGAGTCCCAATCCCATATTATATTACAGGGGAGGGGGAAGGGAAAGGGGGAAAAAAGGAGAGAGAGAAAAAGAGGGGAGAGGGAAGGAAAAAGGGAGGGGGGGGAGAGGGGAGGGGGGGAGAAGCCCGTCGCTCGCGGGAGGGAGGTGATGTCGAGGAGATGCGGTTGCACGCATGCATGTAGGGCGTGAGGATGCAGAAGGATGCTTAGAGCACAAAAGGAATGGCAGCGATTGTCGCCAGGGCTGCCAGACGGGTAGGAAGCACAAACGGCTTGTGGAAGCCAAAGAAAAACGCAGGCATATACCGGCAGGTGGTGGAGTGCAAAACGGGCGACGCACAGGGAAGGGCTTGGGAAGGATACTTGGGAAGTAACGGATCCACGTACACACTAAAGGTACGAAGACCTGAAGACCTGTCCAATACTGAACGATGGAATGTGGCGTACACGCACGCAACACGCTCGGGCTCCTTTACTCCTGAAGCCCAAGCAAGTAAAGCAACTGTGACAGCATCTTATTTGGCAACAAAGCCTGCGACAATTCATGGCTACAAACACCCATGTATGCTGCAAAGCCGAGTGATGTCCATACATGCCGTGCCAGTTACCGACACCCACATGCATGCGAATGCATACCCTTCCCTTCCAGCTGTCTGTACTCAAGCGTGCAGACATCCTCTCGTCCTGCCACGAACCAGCTCCCATGAGCGCGAGCATCACTGCCCTTCCCAACCACCTGTGCCCAACCATGCATGAACGCCGACACCTGAATGCATGCCCACCCAGCCCAAGCGATACATGCATGCATACTCGCCATGCCCAAGTACAGGCGCCCATGCTTGTACGCACACTAACCGTGCCCAACTACAGCGCTGGTGAACGCATGCATCCCATGTACCAACACCAAGAAGGAAGAAGGCGATGGCTGCACACACGGGGAGCCATCATTTTGGTATTGTGATGGTGCATGCCTCCGCACATACACGTGTTCTGCACAATGTTGCTTAGCTGAGGGAACTAGGAAGCCTTGAGGTGAGAAGGCAGCTACATGATGCGGAGCGTTGACTTCGAGGATAGGTGGAGTAGGCTTGTCGAGTAGCGGCTGGAAGCAAGGGAGGTGGAGACGGGCCCTGGAGACTGCAGCAGTGGAGGACATAGAAAGGTACAAGTGCGTAGGGATCTGTCCCGCGCTTTAAAAGCCTGTCGTGTCGCAAGGCTTTGCGCATCCGGGCTTTGAGGACGGGGCGTTGACCTGCGCAGCAGCTGCCGCAGGTCCGGAGGGCATCCCTGCTCGCATGTACGGTGATGGCTGCACGCCCGGGGCACCCGTAATGTGGTACGGCCTCTCCTCCTGTGTCTACGCGCATGGGTGTGTCATGCACACTCTGGATAGCCTTAGCATCATTAGTAGCATTAGCAGCCTTCGCAGCGCATTCGCCAGGGCATTCGCCGCACATCCGGGGGGCATGCCTTCTCGCATGCACGCTTGTTGTTGGCCAGTTCGGGGCGCGCCGGCCTTTGGGCAGGGCGTGTGGAAGCGTGCAGGCGCGGGTAGTTGGACTAAGCAGTGACATAACTCGAACGGGGCAGGAACGTTGGTGCATTTGCACCCGTACTTGCGCACGGCGGAACTGCTAGTTCCAGTTCCAGCATGGCACAGGTGGTCTGGTAGGGTGGCAGGGTGCATGCGCGGCGGCGCGGGTTTGTCTGTAAGCTGCTGAGCTGCGTAACTGTACGGTTGCTGTGTGGCTGACTGGTGACGACGGGGAGTTGTGTAGTAGTGCAGTGGTAGTAGGACCTGAACTCTGTGCGAAACGCACAGGTGCCAGTACTGGTACTTCGGCAGGGCACGGCACGGCCTGCGCACCAGTACTCGGGTGGATAGGGCCTGCACGCAGACACCCCCTGTGCAAGTCAACTACCCGAAGCCATGAGACCAGCGCCCCGCCGTGCTCATAAACTAGCGCATGTGCGTGAGGAGTGAGGGGACTTGGACGCAGAAACTTTAGAAGGAAGGGTAAGGAGGCCGCGTCGGAAAACAAATCCCACGCCACCCCACCCTGTGGTCTCGACGCCACACGGGGAAGAGCCGTGAGAGGCAGGTGCTGCCAGGGGAAGGGCGGCCGCACAGAGAAGATGCCAAAGGGGGGCAGTCAATGCATGGCAGGGGAAGGGCAAGGGCAGGCAGACGCCTGGCATGGAGGGACAGGGGTAGGCAGCCGCCATTGAACCACCATTATTGTAGCGGCCGCTCATCCGTTCAGTTAATCCGGGGAACGGGCAAGGACGGGAAGAGGCAAGGCCGCACGAGGGAGGGCAGACGCACGGGGAAGGGCATTGGAAGGCAAGCAAAGCACGGGGCGACGCAGGTGAGCTGCAGGGGCGACGCAGGTGAGCTGCAGGGGCGACGCAGGTGAGCTGCAGGGGCGACGCAGGTGAGCTGCAGGGGCGACGCAGGTGAGCTGCAGGGGCGACGCACGGGTTAGGGCAGAGGGAGGCATCCTTCCACGCACTGTCTAACTATCAGCGCTTGCATGTGCAGGCATACTCGCGCTGCTGAACCACCGGCGCCCACAAGTCCCGCCCAAAGCCCGGCGCGCCCATGCAGTCCCCGCACTGGCCAACAGCAAGCGTGCATGCGAGCAGGCATGACCTCCGGATCTGCGGCGGACGCCCGAGGCCCCATCCGCCCGCCGCTAGCGCTAGATGGGGCTATTGCCACCGCTGCTGCCAACACCCCGTCCTCAAAGGCCGGATGTGCGAAGCCTAGCGACACAACAGGCCACAGAAGCACAGGACAGATCCCCATGCGTATCTGTCGGTGTCCTCCACTGCAAGCTCCAGGGCCCGTTCTTACCTTCCCTGCTTCCAGCCCCCAACCCCGATGTCAACGTCCCTCATCATGTAGATGGCTTTTCACCTAGTTCCCTCCTTGGATCACCAACAATGTGCATGACACGCCCATGCGCTGCGGCATGCACCGCCACAATACCAAAGCAATGGCTCCCCGCGCGTGCAGCCATCGCCTTTCTCAACGAATGCCGCCCATGCATGCAGGCATCCCTGCCCTGCTAGTTACTGGCACCCACATGCACATGCATCCCCGCCTCTCTCGGGCTCATGCATGCAGACATCCAGCCGTTCTGCCAGGAATAGGCCCCCGTGCATGCAAGATCACCCTTCTCCCATCCATCTCCATCGCACCCATCCGCGCATCAGCGCCGATTCTGAATCTATAACAACCCGTCCCATAAACTGGCACCGATACATGTATGCATACTCACCATGCCCGATTACCGGCTGCCATGCGGGTACCCAGACCCATTGTGCCCGTTTACCGCGGTGATGTGCGCATGCATCTGACACATGTGCATGCAGGAGTGAAGGCATTGGAGGCAAGGGCCAGGAGCTCGCGGGCAAGGACAGCCGAGAGCAGTTTGGGGCAGGCACTGCACATGGAAGGGCACCGCGGCCCACGACGGGCGCATGAGGCCCGCATATTCGCAGCACGGGAAGCACACGGGGAAGGGCAGCTCTATGGTTTACGGCATTGGGAGGCAGCCGCCGCCGGGAAAGGGCAGGGGACACAAGCGCGCGCCGCGCGGGTAAGGACAGTCGCATGGGCAGGGCATGGGGAGACAGGTAGGTACAGCGCGGCAGGGCATCCTGCACTGGGAAGAACTTACGCCGCGAGACAGGCACTACGTATACGTATTCTTCGTTTCTAGCTACTACATTTTACATTTACATTACATACATGTTAGTTTGTTGTGACGACTTCAGAAGAACCCTTGTAACGAACACAGTCTGTTGATTGGAGCATACCGACCGAGGGTGCATGCAAATGACACTACACCACCTGCACCCGTCAACGTATTCAACAGCCCCCTTCACACCTCCCTCACTCGAGCTACGGGTCGCTCCCGCCGAAGGCGGGCCTTACTTGTATACGGTTTCGGAGGAGCGAAGCGAAGGGAAGCATCCCCGTAGCTCGATTCGAAGAAAACGTATACGAAGTATGCGGTTTCGGAGGAGCGAAGCGAAGGGATGCATACCCCGTTCCCGTCACGCTCAACGGGATCCTTTCAGCGCTCTTGTTCACGGCTCGGCCTTCACTTTGAACCGTCCAGCGTGGCGCGCTTTTGCTGTCACGCTCTTTGA